TATAACACGGACTCTGCAGAGTTTAGTTCATATGAAAGTGTCTTGACTCAGTATTTCTAACGACAAACCCGGTTGGACTCTTCGAGTTGCAAGAAAAGGCATAACATCTTAAGCTCATTTGCATCTTTTTGGTATTAATATTACATCTTTGGTGTCTGAGATCCAACTCTTATTCATAACGAGTGGTTTAAATAAAAAAAATGAATAACTTAAGGCTTCTTTTTCCAAAAATAAGTGTGACTTGACTACCACTTCTGCCAACTCTAACACACAGATGTGATGCCCTGACTTTGCCTGCAGCCTCACCAGAAGCCTTACATGTGAAGTGAAGTCAGATGAATTTAAAAAAACAATATTATATAACTTAGAATTCCCTTCGGCATCATCTGGTCTGACTCTTAATTTGACCAGTGACATTCCCATCAGCCTTAGTTGTGTTTTGTGTCACACATTGCCACGTCGCACAGCCTCACACAGCTCGCTGTACACTCTTGTGTTCTAGTTTGGCGCTGAAAACGCTTAAGCTGACTCACGATTGTCTCTTTAACTACTCATAGGAGCATAATTAAACCAAAAATAGTAGTATTCCCCTCTGGCAATTCCAAGCAGCAATTTTAGCTGCATGTATACTTTGTAAAATAAGCCACACTCGCTTGGCCATGTTTTTATGTTACTATGTCTTTGATATTTTTTTGTCACCATTATCTACCATCACATCAAAGCAGGCATGAGTTACATTTTATGCTTTCTGATCAAAGCTTTTTAAAGCTTTATATTTATCATAGGAAAATATCACAATCACCACATGCTATTATCAGTTTTCTCCAGCTTATTTATATGGTAATATGTGAAATAGTGACACCCAATATGACTTTCAAAGTTTTAGTCGATGGTCACTTTTGTGCCAAAAAACACATTCTGTCTTTATTTAGATAGAATGGAGCTCATTTGCCAGCAAGTTAGAAAAAAATCTGTAACAGACAGTAGTTACGTGAATGTCTAGTTTAAGGTGAATCATGATGTTGTCTTAGTTCTTCCCTCCCCCCCTTTTTTTTTTTTAAAGCTTTCACCACTTAACTTTCAGCCTCGGTTTTTTATGTTCAAACCAAGCCCAACTGTTTGGGGATAAAATGACTCAGTTTATATTCTCCATGTGTTAGTAAAGGTGTAAGGTGAAAAAGGCTTGCTGTTTCACTGCACTTTCAACACCGCTCAGATATTTGCACGTTATTTGATACCGCCTCACTGTCAGAATTTCTTTTTCACAGCGAAGGCCTCGAAATTCTCTGGCCCGTTAGCTATCGATTAAACAGCTTTGATCTATTTTATAGCTATTAATTATATATGATGGCTGCGATGCTGCTAAAGAATAACATTGATTGAACTAAATCTTCTGATCATTTTCATGATGACTGTGTACAGAGCTGCTGCCTAAAAAGTTCCTGGTTATGTCCTTGCTCTGCAGTTTCCTTGGCACTAAATCTCACTCTGTAGCAGATGTGTTATCCAATATGTGTATAATGGTGAAATAAAAAAAGCTGTGCGGCCTGTTACACGGATTAAATTAGAAGTGCTGTTTGAAGGTGTTTGTGCGTGAAACACACCTTTAAATCTACAACGGTTTCTTAACATATAAATTATAGAGAGACTCCTGTGCACTGTGTGTGTTGGTTTCAAGCAGGAATAGATTCATGAATATCATTTAAGGGTTCTAGTTCACAGGTAGAAACCTCTCAGCAGAGAGATTTCTGAGTAGTTATTCCCAGCAGGAGATGTGTTTGCTTTGCTGCTCATTCCAACACAAACATTTCATAAAAGGTTTATTTAACTCCAACTCCAGTTTAATTGTTCCTTTTATAGCATTTGAGGAATATGTTGGTGACTGGTGATTTGTCTGTTTATAAAACACTGAAAACTGGGCCTTCAGCATAAATTCCCAGGCTTTATGTTTCTCTTTTTTTCCCCTTTTCACATTTAGGAGCTAGCTCGTTTGTCCTCGTGAAAAATAAGACACTTTCTCATATTAGGCTTTGTCACACTCCAACAATTTTTTACACCTGAGCCTTTCTACCCTACATTCATTTACACGTTTTTCCATTTTCTCCATGTCAAAGCACTTTAAACAATGTCATGAATGTGGAATTAAATAACCTTGGGATTAAGGGATGTGTGGTCTCGGTCATCTTTTATAATAACGGATGGGGGAACTGTAGAAAGTTTTCTTTTAAATGTACACAATGAGCAGATTACTTTTAATTTGAATGTTTTTTAATGTAATGTATGAATTCTGAGGATTAATCAGACATGAAGTTGTCTATCTGCCCATTGCAGGCTGAACCAGATTATGGAGAGCCTGCCTCAGAAATAGTTTAGTTTGCAGCATTACTGGTATGACTGATGGGACTGTGCTCAATGTTTGTTGTAATCAGGATTTTTGTGTTCATACCAGCTCATCTAATATATGCTTGAAAGTTCAAAGAAATGTTGAGGCAGCAAACATGGCACACTCTAACCCTAAGCCCACATTTAATGAAGGGCTGTAATGACACTTTCACCCTATTAGACATTACTTTGTAGTGAGCTGGAAATCTGCATATTTCTTTCTGCTGTAACTGATTTATGCATTTGCATTCTACCGCTCCTCCAGGTTATGTCTAATATAAAATGAAAAAAGACTTGATATGTGATTTTCTCTCTCTCTCTCTCTCTCTCTCTGTCTCTCTCTCTTTAACACAGTAAGTGAGAAAAAAACTGAGCCCTGTAGCTTTTGTGGCTGCATTGCAGACAGATTGTTGTCATATACTCCACAGCAAATCTCTTGATGTGTGAATGTTGATGATTCAATCTGGAGAGATCATTTTCTGTTCTTCTGCATGCACAAAGCAATTTGCAACAGCAAGATGTAAGCATCAGTCAGTGCATACTCATCTATAAACTATATAAAAAAGGTTTGAAAATAGTTCAAGGTGACCCGGGTTTGTTGGGAAGACAAAAGAAAATCTCGTGCCCTAAATCATATTATTGCTTTGCATGGAAACCTAGGTCAATAATATAACTTTTTAAACCGTTTGGACACATGCCAAAGTGTCCTTTAGAGTCCATCAATCTGTCCCTGACATACAGTCATATTATTTTTATTTTTATTATTTTTTTTATTCCTTGCTTACATAATCCACCTTGTTTACGTCGCAACTCGTCTCGACTGTGCTTTCCAGAGAGAATTTCGACGCTTTTTTTATTTGGCATGGAAGCAGAGCAGCCATCGCCAAATTATTCAAATTCTGCGTGTATTTTTTTTTCTTTCTCTCCAGCTCCCCCTCTGTTTCTATGTCTCTCTCTGTTCAGTGCGCGCGTCAGCGTTTGCGCAAGCAGCCTCTCCGCCTCTCAGTGTAGTTCAGCTCCGCTCCCTCTCCCATTCACACACTTTACTACCACAGCCAGAGGTAACGCTCACTAAGCTGCTGCTCCTCTCCTCTCACCGCTTTGGATTAACACTGTGCTTTTCATCATGCTGGAAGTGGAAGGTAGGAGCCCCATGTTGGTTTTTTTATGCGCTGCGATTTGGCTCAAATCTTTAAACCCAATTGGAATCCGTGCGGATAAGGATTGGTTTGTGTTTTTATTCGCCGGTCACATCAGATCTGTGACCTTGACAAAAAAGGAGTTTACCGAAGTGGAATGCAATAAATCTCTAATAGGTATTCTGCAAGAGATGTCAGGGTCGTCCATGCTTATCGTTGTGGTGTTTGGAGTTATTCTTTGTGTGCGTAACGCTGGCTGAGTTTTTATCAATGGAGACGTCAGGGGACAGCTTTAACAGCAACACATTTATTTAAAAATCTTTCATGTGGACTTGTAGAAAATTAGAATAATATTTGTTTCTCTGAAGCCATACCAATTCTCGCCGGGTTTGGTCTCTTTCTCTCTTAAAGAATTCCGAAAGGTCTCCGATCTCGACAGGAGATACGCTTTCACTTATCTGCGACATCAATAATCTGAATATGCATTAAAGTGGACAGCTAAGAAAAAGTAGTGTTTCCAAACAGAAATCCTCAGGCACTACAGCAGAGGATATGTGGAAGTGGCAGGGAATAAGCTTCTGCTTATCCGCTGCTCGGAGATGGATCGACTGGATGTATTAGAGTTTGCATCCAGCAATCCTGCAGGCTGTGACTAATGGATAACATGGCTCAGAGACTGAGTGAAAAAGAAATTCAAATTAATCAATTTAAGTTAAAAGCCAGATGGCTGAGAATAAAGAATCAGCTGATGCTTGTTTTTCTTTTGTCCTGACTGTTTATTGATCAAACAATATTAATGGGATATGTTCATGGAATATGTTGTTTGGTTTTTCGGGTTTTCTCCACTCTGATTTGTTATGAGGAGACAGCAACTCACGTTCCATATATTACGGAAGAACGTCTCAAATTTTGTGGCTGCGTACATTTATTTGTTTTTTGTTTTACTTGTTTTGGCTGGCGGATGTAATGTGGATTTTTGTCATGTTTGTGTTTAATGAGAACATTTTTTTCTTTGTTTTTGTTTTACCGTGCCACAGCTGGAAAAGTAAAGTACCCTGAGGTCACAAGTGCACTGAATATGTGGTTAAAATTGGGGCAATCGAATGTTGCTTCTTGACTTTCACCAATCTATTTAAGCCTTGAGCATATTCTGTGTAACCGGATAGTTTCTGGGGCAGATAAAGCAACAGGGTTTGCATTTTGGCAAAAGTAAAAAAAAGCCTGGGGTGGATTTTAGTACTCTTTTATTTCTCTCTCACACCACCTCTTGTCCTCCTCCTCCTCCTCCTCCTCTTCCTCCCACACTGCCTCATTCATGTGAATGGGTAGAAGCTGAGGGCGGAAGTGTGGGCTGCTGAGATGCACTAATACAACTGTTCAGGGAAACATGAGCTCACACTTATTTATATATTTGTGTATTTTTTCTGTCAGTCTCATCTCCACTGTTCTCCCATTTTTCCTCTCACGTTCTCCCTCCAGTGAATGGGATGCCAGCCAGTCAGATGTCCACTCCTCATTCGGGAAAATCTCCCAGCCCCTCCCCAACCAGCCCCGGCAGCCTCAGCAGACGCAGAGTAAGACTAACACACACTCAGTCACACACATGCAGTTACACGTAAAAGATCACCCCGTAGCCCTTAGTGACTGAATCCATAACACATTCCTTCTATGTTCTCAGGAAAAGGACAAAGCCATCACTGAGCATAGGCCGACAACCTCTTAGACTCTAGAAAACCAAGAAAACCGCTACATCCCGACATCTTTAGTATCTCAGAACAGGGCGAGGCGTGAACCTCTGACCTCATCCAATGCTTCTCTGGGATTCCAAGAATGGAAGAGTCGTGTTAGGATCCGTATTGATAGTTTGAAAACACCTCCATTTTATGTCCACACATGCTGACCCTCAACTCTTTGTTCATGATGGAGACCTTTATCTAGAAGAGGAAACTCTGTAAAAAGTCAAACTAGCTTATAAAGATCTCCTGATCTGCCGGTCAGCAATGTAAGGAATTTGGGATCTAATGATGAGACTTACTGAAGTAGTTTTTTTGCAGACCTTTGTAACCACATTAGAATTCAGTTTTATACTAGGACAGTGTATTTTTGACTATTTCCTTTTTGTTGGGTTTTTCTTTCTTTGATCTCAGAAAACTCCCGTTCAAATCCCTAAATTAAGATCCTAATTTGATTACTTGTTACCAACGTGGGGATATAGCAATACCTGTGTTTGCCATGCAACTTTTACTTGGATTAGGACAAAATCGTGCAGTGCAGAGCAGGAGCATGCAACTCAAAGGGAAAATCTTGAATTCCACAGTACACATGCCGGGTTCATCTAAAGGATGGTGTGCTTTTCTGTGTGTGCATGGATGTGTGTGTAAAAGATCAAAGTATTTGTTAATCCAGTCCTTGGCAGGGATGATGGAGAGCTTTTAGTACCAGCTTCAGTCCTAATCAGATTTCTCTCAGCGAAGCATTTTAATTTGTAAGAACTTTTAGCCTGCCATGGATTTAGCTCCCTCTGCCTCCTCAGCAAACACACCAATTTCTCACATTCGCAGTGTACAAACACACAAATATATATTGTAAGTGAAGCTTTTACGAGCTCTCATGTAAACGTTTTTTTTTTTTTTCTTGTGTTGTCCAAGTGAGAAATGCATCTGACCTGACATTACTGATGCTGCGCTTTTCAATTTCGGACAAAAGATTTTTTGGCACTGGCTGGAACCGGGCCGGAGAAGCATGCGAGTTAAAGACAGAAGAATTTTATAAAATCTCAGAAGACATAAAAAAGATCAGCACATTGCAGTGTCAGTCCAACTGTGAAAAGCGGTTCCCACTTCAGGAAGTGGTTTTAAAAAAAATTGGAGCAAGCTCTCTCTACCAAGGCAGGCCTTTCAACTTGACACTGACACCTCTTTTTTGGAAAGCCCAGGATATAATAACTGGGTATTTAATAACGGTCGTCTGAACTTCTCACGGACTAGATTGCATGACGATAATCAAGTGCTATAGCTGCATGTTGTGGTAGACACAAGCCTTTTTTTTCCTTGAGAAGGAAAAGCAAGCAATCGCAGTCATTTTGTTTTAATAGGTCATATAAATAATTGAGAGGTTTGTGAATAATTTCTATACATAGATGAGCATTTGTGGCTGTGCATGTACTGAAGTCAACCCTACATAAAGCTTACCAGGCTCACTCTTGTGCTAAATTTGTTGAACTAGTGAAAGGACTGTGAAGGGTCTGGCCCTCAGGCCTCCAAAGCCATCAGTGCTAAAGTTGTATTGATGCGATATGAAGGTCAGCCAGAGCCGCACGAACAGATCAGATTTAGGCTGCAGCAAGTGAGAACAGAACACCGGTCCATATAACTTCCACATCTGTTCAGAACTGGGTCACCATAAATGAAGTGGTTAGGAGGAAATGGGCTGGCACAAGCATACATTTACCATGTCTCTCATGTCTGGATGTGTGAAGACTTAAACTTACCTAATTCAGCCAATTACTGTGCTCTGTTTTTGTCTTCACAGCTAAGAACGAGTTTCTGGAGGAGATATTTACTGAAACTGTGGATTTGTAAAATAGTTTAGGCTAGTGTGAGTCAAGGACCAAATACGTATTTTTATTTTTTTTAGCAGGAATGCACAAGGTTTGCAAAACTTTTTTTTAATGAATTGAAAAAACACTAATGAAAAGCCAAGAGATTCACACAACAAAAACACACACACACACAAAAGTCAGGTGACTTTAAAACCAATGGCACGTGTCCGAACTCTGCTCATATCGATTTTTTTTATGGACCCATATGAGAGATAGTTGTCGATGTAACCGACACAAAAGTAATGTAACTGGCAGCTTACGGGTATGCGGTGTAATTTGACATAAAAAAAAAAAAGTTTCTCCCTATTCAAATTTGAACTCGGCTGCTTATGTTTTTGCCACCCTCCTCTTTTCTCATGCAGTGTCAGCCATTGCAAATTAGCACTGCCGTGCAATCCCCTGATATGTCAGTGATTTAATCCCCGTACATCACAAATTGAGAATATATTTCCTAAAGAGAGATTAATCCAGCCTCTGCACTTGCTCACACTCTATAAGAAGCCAGCAGTTGCTCGACTGGAGGGAAGGAGGGGAGGAAGCTCCACAGTTCATTATCTCCGCTCTCCACTCTGCAGCTTCACACTCTTCAGACATATTAGGATGTAATTCTCTCCTCCACTTCTACGTTTTCCATCCACCCTCTTTGCTGTGACACTTTCATTCCAAGCCGCTCTCACTCAGACACACAGCCAGTCTTCTTTCACATGCCCATACGAAAGAGCATTAACTTCCCAGTTTGAAACCGCATTCTGTCATTTCTCTTGGATTATTTCTGAGCTTATTTTAAATGTAGGCACCAACTCCAGTATTCGCACACTCTCTGCTCCTATTTGTTATCTGTAATGTAAATTTGCATTAATGGTCTTGAACAAGTGACTTTTAATAGCACAGACTCTCGTGGTGCTTGTTAAGCAAAGGAGGAGTTTTTCAGATCGTAAAGGCATAACCGTCTACCCAACCTGGAACTCCAGAAAGAATGATCCTAGAATTGATCATTGATCCTAGAATTGATTGCTAATATAAATGGAGATTTAAAATGCTGGATAGTGTACATCCATCCATTATCGTAACCGCTTAAGTCCTGGGTCCCCCGGGATCTCGAACCCAGAACCCTCTTGCTGTGAGGTGATGGTGCTAACCACCACACCAGTGTACAATTTTAGCTAATCCCATAGCACTGTAAAAAAGGTATGAAATCAAAATAAGGAACATTTTTATTGGCGGTTATATAGTCTCACTGACCTAGTGCTGGGAATTTTGCATTTAAGCAGTTCATCTCACTGGACTGTGTTTGAATACTTGGAGGCACTTTGCTGCCTGAACTAGGTTGCTCATACCACTTAGGCCATCACAGCCCGTTTTCCCTTGGGCAGAAAATGCAGACATTGCGCCTTTTTCCTTTCCCCTGTCATGAGTGCGTAGCTTCAGTGGCTTAGATGGGCACATACCTTTGAAGAGATTGCTAAAGAGAATCACTTACTTATTCAGATATGCTTCAGAAGAAACGCTTTTCTGCATGAAATCAACATTTTGTGCAAGGGTAGGATGCATGCAACACATGCTGTGTTTGACTAATTCTGTGCACACCGTGACCCATTTTTGTGAATTGGTAACAGAAGCATGAAAGAGTAGTCAGCATTCATAGTCATCCGTCATCTCCTTTTTCCATTTTTGACGTCTTTTAGTTCTTTAAAGCCCAACGAAAGTTTTTTTTTTTTAGATTTGAATTTATTGAGAGAAACAAACACACACAGTAATTCATTATAATGTTCAGCGCATACGGATTTATTTAGCGAGCCAGCACGGTTTTCTGAAAAGCCAGAAAAGGGTAATACTTTTAAAAGTCAATAGAGAGCCTGATAGATTGAAGGCCAGGTAAAGCAAAGGTTTGCTACAGAATCTGTGACAGTCAGGTGGCTGTTGGTGTGAATGTATATGAAAAGAGAGCGCTGCTAGTTGTTATATCACCTGCACCGTCCTTCCACTGTTCAGTCCTTCATATTTTCAATCCATTGAATTGCATGCTCCATCTCTCATTCTTATTTGAAATGTTTCTGTGTGTTTGGTGACTAGTCAATAGATTATTTGTGTGCGTGCGTGTGTGTGCATATATTTGTGAGGAGAGAGAAAGACGACAGAAAATGTGCATTATGAACTGATAATATTGTTTCATTCATCCGCGTGAGTGTGCTTTAACTTAAGGCTGTATGTTGTACTTCTTTTTTCATGTTATTTTGTTCATGTCATTAGATGGCTTGTCGAGTTTTTTTTCTGTGATGCCTAAAAGACTGGCTGCACCACACGGTGAAACAGTAAAAGCTTGCGTTCATAAGCTTCAAAAGACCAATCTGAACCCTTTATTTTTTAAACCTATCTTTCCAAAATATTCAAATCGTTCATATTTACGTCTTCAATGCATCCAAAAATAAGATCCTAGAGAGTTCAGAATGTTTGTGCAGATGTATTTTTAGGGTAATTTACCGCAGCGACCTTGTTTATCTGTTTTTGTCTTGTGCGGCTGCCAGCTCTTCTTGGCCCATTAGTTTCTGTTTGTGTTTTCTTTGCTAAATGTATTCATTTCCATTTGTTGAAGTCATTAAATTGAATGTCATTTCATTTTTATTTTGGTGTCGTTTTTCTTTCTCTTTCTCCTTTGTGATTCATTGCGATTATGATAATTATGATGCGATAATTACCCTCTCATTTATCAGCAGTTCTTCTTAGCTGAACTGACTTTTGTGTTTAGACAAGCAGAAAGGTGTCATAACACAAACATAGCCTCAGAGGTGCATTTACCTCCCTGCCTTCAATAGTCTGCAAACAGTCCACAAAATTTATGAATCACAAACTATTTATGGTTTTGGACTTGAATTTCTTTCAGGCATGTGAAAATGTATCTTTGGAAGCTGGACGATTTATAGGTTGAGTCCATTATGTATCCTTCAAGTCCAATACATTTGTGTTGCGTTCATTTGCTGTTTGGTCAAGTTTAGGCACTGAAAACAGTTGGGTTTGTGCATGTTTGTTGTATATGTATGTTTACACAATTATTTTTTCTCACCCATATTTTTAGTTTAAGATCATACTGCAGACTGCAATTATAAAACATCAGTATCCATCTGTCAAAGCAGAAAGCCAGAACTCCCCAGTGACATTTGTTCTGTACATGTATAAGTCATGTAGACTGTGTTTTCTGTCTGTCTAGACAACAGTATATTTGCTCAGAGTTTTTGTGTACCAATCAACGAAATGAAGGAAATGTAAGACAGTCTCCAACAATTCTTATTAGATTTCTCCGAGAGAACAAACACCAACAAAACCTTTTTTTCTTCGTGTTGTCTTAACACTGAATATGATAAAAAACACACACACACACAAAAAAAAGCCAACCAGGAAACAAGTTAGACTCTTAGCCTCAGGGATAAAGAGAAAAAAGACCCCAGGTTGTGTTTCATAACCAGATTCTGAAAACAGCATGGAGGACAAAGCTGCACATTCTTAACTTGGTTATGTAAATATGCCCTCCATTTTTAATCCAAAATTCTACAGCTGGCAGGCTTCAATTTAAACTACAGTAAGATAAATAGATAAATAATTCTTCTTCGACACCTCAGCTTCTGTAAAAATGCTCCATGTTTAAGGACAGCCATAGTCATCCACTTTTCATTTCTATTGTTACACTGATTAGTATGCAGTTGTTGTGTGTTGTTTTTGCAGTTTTGAAGAGCAGTGCCTCCAGTCATGATGGCAAAGACATGTCAGTGTGTTTTTTAAGTTGTGACTCAGAGTAAAACTGTGGGGATGAGGAGCCAGGAATAGTGCATGCTGTATTGTGCATTAAGGAGGGAACTGGATGGTATAATAAAATGTAATGGACACTTCTTGATAAGTCTGGTGATCCAGGTTGGACCATCTACATTTTTACATGTTTTCTCATCCGATCTGTCTCCATCAGTTTCCCTCTCTGTCTGCCACTCCATCTGCCTCATCGGTCTTCACACAGCAAAGACAGACAACATTTTTCATCGAAGGTTGAACCCGCCTCCCAGCCAGCAGACAGGAAATGACCATATTTAGACTCTTAGTCTCTACACTGGAGATCTCATAAGCTGCTGTTCTCTCCTAGAGCAGTTTCCATAGCAACAGTATTTTGTTTCCCTCTGTGGCAGGGATGGAGAGACAGAGAGGGAGAAAGAGAGAGAGAGGAGTTCAAAATGAGACAGCTGAGAGGGCAATGCTGGATTTTCAATTGGGGCACAACCGAGGTTGACACACAAGTCAGGAGGGGACAAAAAAGAGCAGAATGAGGATATTTTTAAGATAAGCACAGGAGGGCCATTGGCTTTACTGATATGAAGTGGGCTTTCTTGTTCTGGGATGAGTGCCCGACCAAACAGTATTACATAAACCAGACGGGGTCTGACTCACAGCTTCTTCCAGCTAGGTGGTTTTCAGGTCACAGGCAGCAGAGGTGAGTGGATGCACTGACAGCTACTCAGGCGGGGATATAGGACACATCAGTTCTGTAAATAGTTTCCAGTTCCAAGTCATTACTTTACAATAAATGGCCTTTCTTCCCATCTGTTACGTTGACAGCAAACTCTCCACACCGAACATATGTCAAGGACGCTTTACTTGGTGACAAAGTCAGAGACATTTTTCTCCTTTTCTTAATTTATTTTTGTTTTGTTTTGAGCTACTTTGCTGCTGCTGATTCTGAATTATGTCAAGTTTATTTTTTAATTCAATTCAATTAAATTTTATTTATATAGCGCCACATCACAACAACAGTTGTCTCACAGCGCTTTCCAAACAGAGCAGGTCAGACCCTACTCTGAAGTTAACTACAGAAACCCAACAATTCCCACCTGTTAGATAATGATGTTTTGGTGTACACCTGTCAAATCCCACCTCTGTTAAATAATGTTAAATAGTAATACTAGTTTAATGTAATATTGTGTGAATATAGTGAAAAATATTTGCTGATCTATAACTTCAGTCCTGGTCTGTCTACTTTGAAAGAAAACATATTTAGGTTACATTACCCGTCAAGATGTTTGACAGAATAATATCTGTTGATATTGATATTAACTACACTAATAATTAATTAGATACAAATATCTCCAATATATTATTCAGATGTTGCCAGTTCTTCTTACAGGGCGCATGTGTTACAGATATGTGCAGACTGAGCTTGGTAATAGCTCATGTCGGGCCCTGAAACGGCAATGGTGTCCCATTTCATATCTGGCAACACAACACTTTGTACCAGTAAAATGTATGTGTGTACTGGAAATATCAATCCCCAAAGACCTCATGGCAGTGGGGAAGAATTTGAACAGATAGTTGGCAAAATAACTATAAGAGAATTGGGTATATGATACTGTAACTACATTTAAAAGAGGAATCCCCTCTTTCCAAAAATCAACAGCTCTTCAGATAGAACCCCCCCCATAAAGATTGACAGCAGATGTATGAGAGGGGTACATTCATATTCATAGTACTGACTACATCCCCTCTCCTCATCCTTGCTGCTTCCATGACAACCAGAAAGAAGGTTATGAGGTGCAAGCCATAATGAATTTTTGTCTTTGGATAGATGCAGACACCTCATTTCAGCCACCCTCTCTTACCTTAATGACCTCCTACTCACTAACCAGGAAAATCTTTCTTTAATAGTGTCTCCAGAACCTCTCTTCCTGTGTTTACTCAAGGTCGGAGAGGAGCTTATTAGGTTGACATTGTGTGTCCAATGTGGACTCACACCTGAGGTATGACTAGCCGATTTTTATTTTGATCATGGTTTGATTAAATTGGCTCTGACTGCCTTTTTTCTATAGAACGGATGGTTAACAAAAAAGAGTTAGACATGACAAAATTCCACATGCATATACATTTTTTATTGGACTGTTTCAGAGGTTGGTGTTGTAGTGGTTAGCAAGAAAGTTTTTGATCTGCTTTGGACCTTCGTGAAGGTTGCATGTTCTCCCTCTGTATGCGTAGGTTCTCCATAGGTAGTCTGGCTCACTCCCATCACCCAAAAAACACATATAGTTGGTTAGTTGTTGATCCTAAATTGACCCTATGAGTCAGTGCGTGTGCATAGTTGTTTGTCTCTGTGTGGCTCTGGACATCCGTCCTAACCCTAACCACCGGCCAGGGTGTACTCCCCCTCTCGCACTATGGCAGGTGGATTAAGCTCCAGCCCCCATGCGACCCATAGAGAGTGGATGGATGGATGATTGCAGATTGTGCAGCTTCCCTGAGTTCATTAGTGAATGTTAAGATAATTACAGGCTAGATTTTACTCTGCAGAGTAAGAACATTTACAACTTTTCTCTCTGCCTACCCTCTCCCCCTTTCAGGGATCCCAGGGTTCTTCCACCTCTCTGTCTTCCGCTCAAGTTACCAGCCCTGTGGAAGATTGTGATAGACTCATCACCGAAGGTAAGGAAAAATTATGTAGCAGACTTGCTCCATCTGTTCTATGATTGGCAGAGGCCTTGTACTTGCAAATATCATTGATGTCTGAATCATGTGCATGACCTTTGAGGCATCTTTCTCTCTATCTCTCCTCTTGGGTGCATATCCTGTTCTTCTCAATTCATTTCAAAACAATAATGCTCTGTTCATATCACCAAGTCATGAGTTTGGAACAGCATCAAGGAAAGCAGACACCGGGCTAAAGATATAACATGAGGCTCTTGTGTCAACAGACATTTACATATTTGAAAATGTCCTCTTCAGACAGCTCAGAGAACCATTTCAAATGCACTTAATAAATTGGAAGAAAGATTTATTTTCATGAACAGAGAACTCTGAGCAGATATATAAGTAAATCTTTCTAATGCCTTAAAATAATCTGCCTAATTACAGAATGTACATATCATTCATACTTATTTGTGAAATTCAGTTTATTGTCAGTCATTTTAGCATTTCTGTTCAATTTGATTTCAGATAATGACAGAAAAGAGATAATGAGTTTTTGTTATGAAAGCTTATCAGCTCTAACTAATTGTAGAGCACAGTATACTGATTAAGGATGAATATTTAAGGTTCACGGGTTCTCTAAACCTCGGCTTTCTTCTCCACAGCTGAGGTTTTGATGGATGATGTTCCGGCTGTGCCATCCTACATATCAGACCGCTACAAGGTGGGGCGGATGTTAGGGGATGGAAACTTTGCAGTCGTCCGGGAATGTGTGGAACTCTCTACAGGACGCGAGTATGCTCTGAAGATCATAAACAAGGGCAAATGCAGGGGCAAGGTAAATAGACATCCACAAACTCTCAAAACATAACTCTACTGAAGTAGAAGAACTGCTAACTTACACTGAATATAGGACTTCTTCAGCTCAGATATAAGAGTAAGGTGTTTAAGCTGAGAAAAGCACCAATTAGTCAAATCACCCGCTGCATTTTTGCCCTATATGCAGTGCATACTTTAAATATCTCATCGGGCTGAATATTCTATCTATTTCTCTCTGATCAGGAGCACATGATCCAGAACGAGGTAGCCATCCTCCGTAGAGTCAAGCATCCAAATATTGTCTTGCTCATTGAGGAGGTGGACACCTACAGTGAACTTTACCTGGTCATGGAGCTGGTGAAGGTGAGCTTCTGCCCCCCATCTACATGTTCGTGTGCTTTGGTGATTTCTGAAACAGAGAGCCAGGGTTGTTCCATCTTCTTTCATAAGATGCCGATTATTATCTCGAACTGGGGTGCGACTGAGAGGAGGGGGCAGAGATGGTGACAGTGACAGAGGCTTAACAATCAGCCAATGCAGCAAACCACCAAGTTGCACAGTATGGGGTGGAGAGAATCAGTCTGTGGCTCCAGGCCCTTGTGTGTTCACATTCTTCATTCTCTCTCTTGCTGTCTGAGTCAAGAAACGTTTGTGCATAATTCAGGAGCCAGGAATGCGATCCATCTGTTCATGCCGTGGTGTGGAGTACTACAGAATATAGATGAGAGACAATCTGTGGGAGAAATGTGCGTACTTGTGAGCAAGTCCAAAGTAGGAGGATCGAGAAGAGGCTGTGGATGAATGAGGTGGAAACCATTGCTGCCAGGCTGCAAAGGACTGGGGAAAGGAAGAGATTTATATTTAACAATTTTAATATGAGCCCAGATTGTGTGACAAACAAATATATATTCTTTTTTTCCTTCACTTTTTGAGTTAGATAGTTTAGTTTGAATTCGGGAACAAAATACCAGGTGACACTCATATGATGGTTTGTGGCACTTTTTGCTTAAGGTCCATTTCTCTTTTTAGTGTGACCAAAAATAATTCAAAAAGGTTGAGTGATGATATCTAAATATGCATCTTGAGTTACATTGATGTCTACCTGTTCCTCTTTTTTATTTTCAATATGATTATGGTCTGAGGGATGACCAGATTTAAGTCCCTCAAAGCAGATTTAATGTAAGTTTGTGCAGGAATAACTGCTGCAGAACTTTTAAGTTTTATATGTGGGGAAATGTGAATGCACTTTTATGCATTGTTCTTTGGTACAAGAGCTTAGTATCTTTTTCTATTTGTTTTAAGTGTTTTTCTGAGATATTCTAAAAAATGTTTGTGGGGATCACCCTGGTTTCAAAGTTCTACATATACAGATTGATTGCCCCCAACATCTGACTGAATCTTTAAATGAACAATAAAATGTATTTATGAAGGGGAAACAATCTGAACCTCTTGGATTAACTATGTGATCACAAGTTTTAAAGCATTAATGTAACAGTTGTGCCAGCTAAACAAATAAGAGTGTAAAAATGTCCTGCTTTTGAACTGAGCCGGAAAAAACTCTCACATATAGATGTGTGCTTATCTGCTAAGTTCGGCCAAAAGTCAGACATATAGAAGGACAGATGAACTAGTTAGAGGCTGAGCCTTTGCACTTGGCAGCTCGCATATTTAAACAACTGTTGCTTAATTTGAACCCTGACAGTGTGTCTGAGTCAGTTCTGGAAGAGAGAAACATCCAGCCCTATTTTAAGCTTCTGCTCCACTTAGAGCTCTCAGGGAGGAAGACACAGAGAGAATGAGAGAGAAAAAGAGGTGGAGGAGATTCAGAACAAATAGAAAATTTGATGAACTGTGACAGAAAGAAGCCTGAGAGAAATAAAGGAAGAGGGGAAATTAGCAAAAAATGATTACAATAAAAGATAAATGTTACCCACAGGGTAGGAGGTGTTACCGCAGAGCTGATGAATGAGGGCACAGCTGCTGGAAAGACAAACAAGATCAAACTCTTTTCAGCAGAAGAGATCAGTGAAGAAAGTATTTAAGATTTGTCTATTGTTCCCAACACTGACCGCTTTCGTATCCTTCTTGACCTGTCCACAGGGGGGAGATCTGTTTGACGCCATCACCTCTGCCAACAGATACACAGAGAGAGATGCCAGCGGCATGCTTTACAACCTAGCCAATGCCATCAAATACCTCCACAGTCTCAACATTGTGCACAGAGACATCAAACCAGAAAACCTACTGGTGAGTTCACAGACTTTGTACAAACGCTCATACATCTATCCGCAGTGTGCCCCCTCCTACTTCTCGTTTCCTGCTGTCTTTGTGAATGGTGAAGTAATATCACTAACTCCGGACTCTCATAGTGAGATGACTCATCCTTGCTGCCCTCACACCTTCTGCACACGCCCTCATTTGTGCCTTCTCCCTTCTGTTAAGATCCTTACTGTGTTCTCTTGCTCCAACTGCTGTTCTTCTTTTGTCCCATCATTTGCCTATCAAATGATGGTCAAATCAGATTTTGGCTTTGGCGATTTTGCTTTTGTAAGGCGATTTGCACCCACAACAAACAAAAGACACATTTTTTTATGTTTCCTCTACCTTCCTTGTCTCTCATTATTTGAACTTTTCATATTGTTTCAGAATTATCTGCCCTCAATGACTGTTAAAAGGATTCAGAGTGAACGTTTCAAACAGATGTAGTATTTCTAACAGTAGTTTGAAGTAGCTTTGAGCCGGTCTCTCTGCAGCCATTTCATGAGCCTGTGTTTGACAGATTTTGCTGTATGTTTAATTTCTGCGTTTAGGTTTACGAGCATGCCGATGGCAGCAAGAGCCTGAAATTGGGAGACTTTGGTTTAGCGACTGTGGTTGATGGACCCCTCTACACTGTCTGTGGAACCCCAACATATGTAGCACCTGAAATCATTGCAGAAACTGGGTAAGAACAGCTACCAGTGAGTTGAGGATGTGTAGACAAGTCATTACTAGTTTGGTATGATAACTAAGTTTCAAGGTTGATATTTCATATAATCATCATTTTAATTGATTCAAAGAGGATGGGAATAGAAAGTAAAAGTCTGTTGTCTATTTTCTTTTTCTTTTAAGCTGATTCTGAGCCGATTCCTTTGTCTTTGTGTAGGTATGGCCTCAAAGTGGACATCTGGGCAGCTGGAGTCATCACCTACATCCTGCTGTGTGGTTTCCCGCCATTTCGAGGGTAAGCTAACAACAAAATGTGCTCTACGACCAATAATTCATTCTTCTATCACGGTTTCTGCTTTGAAGTTTCAGTGTGCAAAATCTTCTCAGAAAACAACAAAAGAGACTAATGAAAGCTCTATAATATGAAAATATTTTGCAGGAGCAGTGATGATCAGGAAGCACTTTTTGATCAGATTCTGATGGGACAGCTGGAGTTTCCTCTTCCATACTGGGACAACGTGTCAGAGACAGCTAAGGTGAGTGTTCAGTTTGTTCATTCTGTGAACACGTAGATGTGTTTTACGCATGGGCTGAGCCCGACTCCCCGCTGTCCTCATGTTGCTGCAGGAACTCATTCGATCTATGCTGGAGGTGGAGATGGATCAGAGGTACAACGCCCTCCAGGTGTTGGAACACCCCTGGGTCACTGTGAGTACAGCGTCATCAAGCCTATGGAGCGGTTGGCTTTTATTCAGTTTCATCGTTTTCTGCAGAAACACTGACTTATCCATTGCTTGATGCAGGATGAAGGTCTGTGTGAGAACGAGCATCAGCTGTCAGTAGCGGGAAAGATAAAGAAACACTTCAACACCAGTCCGAGGGTCAATGACACCACCGCTGGAGTGTCAGTCATTTCTGTAAGTGGCCATTCCAAAGTGCATCTACACTAACTGTTCTGACAGGAAACAGCGGGTTCTGAATTGTTTTTTTTACGGTGCCTCGGACCTTCTTTTCTTCTTTTTCGAGCTGTCTCCTGAAACAGATTTAGCTTTCAGAGTCAAGTATGTATTTCCACATGAAGTGGTGTCTGGATTGATTGTACTGGTCTCTCTTTGTGTTCAGCTGGATGACAGCTTTTCTATGCAGAGATCTGGGTCGTTGGATTTCTACCAGCACCCCACCATGTACTGGATAAGGTATGCTTGGTTTCCATGGAGACACAATAAGGTCGCAAACAGCGAGAAATCAAAACAAGCTAGAACGGTGTCTGGAATGACCCCCAAAGCACAACGCTCCCACCTTGAATGCTGCCCCTCAAGCTGCTGCTGTGCTGTTTTGGCTGTGTCTTTTAATGTATGCGCTCGGCTTTTTGCTTTTTATTCTCCCCGCTTTTTCAACACAGATTTCATTCCTTCATTGCTCAGCTGTCATCAGTCTCCTGCCAAGGATTATTCTATGTTGTTTTCTGTGTGTCGGTGTCTGTGGTTTTCCCAACTTGTGTGTAGCTGCATCTATGATGATAAAGTAAACAAACTGTTTTTTCAAGGACCAGCTTTTGTTTACTTGATTTATTTGGGAATGCTGCCTTGCCAAAGAAACAGTTCCGTACCCTCGGTTGTCTCTTTGACTTGCTGTGATTAATGTACTCCTTTATCTGACTTGATGTGATGTTCATAACACCGTTGCCTTGTCCAGTGCCAAAAATTGCTATTCTGCTTCCATTGCACAGTTCCTGTTACGTGGCATATCCCCTGATCTCTGGAGGACCTTGAGATTCATTGCTGATAGTGGTACTAGTCATAAGGGGAATTAAAAGCAGACTTGAAGAAATTAACAACAAAAGTCTGTTGTGTTTGCCGGAAACCTGTCCTGGGATTACCCCCCCCCCCCATTGACAGCTAGCATAGACTCATGCCCGCTCGCGACCCTGCTACGAATAAGTGGAATAGACAAATGGACAATAGACAGCTGGATGGATGTTTGATATACCAATTTATATTTCACTTTATCTATTAGCCTAATTCCCCTTATGACTAACCTATCAAATGGCAATGAGTGACTCAACGAGCATGTATAACACTCTTCTGGTTCTCTCGACTGGAATACTCATTATACAAGCCAGATGATCTAATCAGTATGTCCTCCTGTGCTTCCCTCTACCAGGCCACCTCTCTTGATAAGGAGGGGCAGGTTCTCAGACGAGGACGCCACCCGGATGTGAAGCCGCCGCCTTTGCAGATGATCCAGACTGTAAAAACAGAAGTAAAAACAAACACACACTGGGCAGAGCCTCCTTGTTGCCTCCCTGGCCTGCCCATGTCCCCATTCTCTCTGACCCCTAACACATGCTCTGACCCCTCTCCGGACTCCAGTCCCAAATCGGACTCCGATGACATCTCCATCAGCTCAGTCAGCACCATCTGTTCCCCCACCTCACCCTTCTAAAGAGGAAACAGGGAGGAGGAGGAGATGTGAGGAGGGAAAATCCTCATCCAGCTCCTCTCTCTTGATGGAGGAGGGGGAAGAGCAGATGATCAGCAGAACACTTTGGAAAAAAAATCTAAATCCATCTCTCCAAACTTGGAAGGCGGTTTAATGAAGGGGTAGATGAGCAAAAAAAGAAAGGGAGAGAGGTTGGGAGAAAGACTAAAGAGGCCACAAGAACTGGGGATCCTGAGGAAGAGGGAAGATTTGGAGGGAGGTGGAAGGTTTTTTATTTGTTTTTAGCGTTCTCTTATCTGAGCACATGTTGTAGAGCTCAAGGAGCGAAAAAGGGAAACATAACTGTTTACCTTTCAGTGATGATCCGGGCCAAACATGGTGGAACAGCTCTTAATGGCAATATGAGAACATGGACCAATGTTCACGTTTTATTGAACCTTATTTATTCATTCGTTATGTTCTGCATTTTTATATGTATCTCCCTTTTTAATAGAGGATCCAGTTTTCCTTTTGTTGACTTGAGAGTTTGGCGAAATGAAAATAATGGCGAAATGTGTAGAAGTAGAACTCAGAAGTGTGTAAGTAGGATGTAGTACAGTTGATTGACAATATACTATTGTAAAATCAGAGCTACAGGAAGTAGAGAAAAGAGTTCTTGCTCAACATGTTGACGAACAGTATTCAAAAAAGCACTTGTGCTGTGACTCTGTCCTCCACACTGTATTGACGTTGCCTTCCTGTAACGTTGGATTACGGTGTTACAGTTTACACTTTACACAGACTGCTAAGACTATAATGGTGCATTTTAACAGAACTTGTTACATTGTTAGCTGCAGTTCAGAACATCCCAATACACTTAATTCAGCAGCATCTGGATGCTTGTAGCAAACCTGACATCTCTTCTGTCACGGCACACAGTCACTCATTAATCCTCATTTATATCAATACTACAGGTATGACTCAACATGTTCCAGCACTAAGGGAAGTTTATGGATTTGTATGCGTTGGGTGTTAACACATGTCAATGAGGGCTGCGTATTTGCACAAAAGGCACAGCATTTCCTGTGCAGTCCAATGGGACAGCTGTCACGGCAGTATGGATGTCAAAAAACCAGCAGCACTCGCGCAAAACCGTAAAGTTAAAAAGATGGAGGAGGATTTATTTAAGCTCTGTACAACCTCATTCATGGCTTCATTTATTCTGATGAAAGTATGACAGACATACAGTAGCCTATTCTTATAAAAGAAAATTGTTAAGTGATGAAGTATTGTTTATATGTTATGTAAATAACTATTTTATTTATTTTGATAGTTCACAATACAGTATATTTCTTTACTTGTAGTATGTCTATGAGAATTCTAGAAAAGAAAGGGGAAAAAGAAAAAACATCATTAAAAAAAAGAGTTGTGTGTTACATCGTAAAAAAAAAAATCAATAGATTGATTGAAGAGATCAATAGGTTGAAATGAGAAAAAGAGACCGGCATCTTTGTTTCAAGCTGAACAAAGAAGATGGTGCCACTGCTGCTTTAAAATAAACTGGTAAATTGGTTTCTGTATCTATCAGGGGGCCTCACAAGTGAGAGAAATACAGAGCAGCTCCAGTTTTATTTAGTTATTTATTTTTGCAGATTCCACTGCAGTAATCGCACTTGTCTGGGTTTCTGTATTTATTCTCAGCAGCGGACATACACGGTAATGTGCCACAGACCAGTATGAATTATTTTGTGCTGTTGAAATTTACACTCTGGCACATGTGGTTTACAAAAGCCTTCTCACAGCTGCACCACCACATTACAGCCCGTTCCAAATACTGATACCTGTACCTCTGTTGAACAATGTTCTATCAATAACAATAGTAATGATTAAAATACATTTCAAAATCATATTGTTGGTGTGTTGTTATGTATATTAATCTGTTTACAGTTTTGACATACAGGTTTACATGGAAATAAACAGCATTATCCAACAAAGGCCATATTTAGCTATTTATAGTTGATATCTGCTGGGAGGCACTTCACTAGAGGGTTACTCAATGTGCTTTTATAAATCCCAATTATAGCAGGAGATGTAGGATCTGCAATTTTCTGTGCTTGACAGGGTAAGTGCTCTGCCTGATGGTGGGATGACAGAGTGGAATTCATTGTTCCGTCTGAATAATACAAATTTGCAGTGGTTAAAACACAGCATGACAATAAAAATGGTCCTGAACAATCAACTTCAAGGGTGGGCAGGATATATTTGAATAGAAATAAGAAATCAGGCATGAAATGTGGATGAAAAGGTATAGATTACATCTAGTTTACATGTACAGTATTGGAGTTCCCACATATTATAGAGTTACTAACTAGATCTGTCATTTATTTGAAAAAAGTAACTTAATGTCCAAAAAGGGACAAAGTAAATTGTAAATGACAAATTTAAATAACCATAGAAAAGTGTAAGAATTCATGATCAATGAAGACATTAATTCTATAAACACTGTGGGGACACCCGGCAGCCTCTGCGTCTTACCGTGACTGATCTGTCTTTTAGCTCGATTACAACTTGCAGGATTGAGTGCATAATCCAGGAGTTGTGGATTAGTTTGGGCTACACAGTTAGGGTGAGGCCAATAATACTCTCTGTGATCCTAAGAGCTTGAGTAAAGTAAACTGGAACCTCAAAGCTGGACTGTTGAGGCATCTTCAACATCCAAAAAGAGGAAGTCCAGTTGTTTTTACTCAAAGGTGTTAGGGTTCCTATGACCTGAATGACTGAGCATCTACAGTAAAATATCCTCTGTGGCAAGTAACTGAATAGCCATGCAAGCAAATTTGTAGTATTCTTTGTGAACATGCACATAATTTACTAACACATATTTAATAGATTTGCAAATATTCAATTTTTAAATGTGGCCTTGCAATGTGCGAGTCCTCAGAGATACCTCAGAGAACAATTAAACAAGCATTGTTTACAAGAACAAGAACAATTAAAAGCATTAAGTAAAGAGTATACTTGTGCATTTCAGCTGGAATGAGAGACAAACACCTACAAACACAAAGACCTAATACGATTCTACACTCCATCATCAATCATCCATCACAGTTATGTGGTTACTGTAAAATAGGGGAAACAGTTAAACTTTGCCTTTCATGAGTACTCATGTGAAAGAAAGAACTCAGACAGAAAGCAGAAAATGATTATTCTTAAGAGTGTATTAACCATTTGGGTAAGGGCACTATTTCAATATTTAAACGAAACCGGATTGATAAAGTCATTTTGTGGTCAAAGTAAAATATATCAGACTCCAATACAGGAGGTGGCGGTAATTCACTCTGAAGCTGGTTGATACTAGCCAATTAAGGGAGACGAAGAAGAACGAGCTAGTTGCTGTGGAGGTGCTAAACCCATGAATACCACAGCCAACCAGTAACCATGATTAAGATTTGAAATCATGCAGTAATCCCAGCATTTGGACTGGAAAAGAGGCTAACTTGTGTCAAAGGTAGCTGGAAAATGTAAACGAGCTTCTGCACTAGCAGGCTACCGCTAACGCGAGGTTGCTGTAAAATAACAGGTTGTCACTTAGCTTGCTGGCTAGCTGCAGCCTCCCTCTGCAGTCATGAGCGAAGAGGACACTTCATCAGCAACGGCCACCAAAGACAAAGACTCGACCCTGCTGCTCACTAAAGACGGACAGAGGTACTATGTGAGTAAAAGCGGAGTGGTCGACAGCAGAAATGTCATAACGCCTCACGAACCGGAGAACAACACCTCCTCTTATGATATGGACGATGCGGACGAGGAGAGTGACGTGTTGGACACTTCGGATCCGAGAGACAGCGCCGCCAGCCCGGAGGAGCTGAACGATGAGGAGACTTCGGAGGTGGACAACGCCCCAAAACAGTGCACCTACGAGGGGTGCACGGAGACGACCACGCAGGTGGCCAAGCAGAGGAAGCCGTGGATGTGTAAAAAGCACCGCAACAAGATGTACAAAGACAAGTACAAGAAGAAGAAGAGTGACCAGGCGATGTCCAGCGGAAAACTGGACGTAAGGCAGTCTGTGCATATTTCTTTTCCAGAAGCATGTGCAGTATAGTTGACATTATTCTGGAGCTGCTTTTCCAGACTAGTTCAAAACCAGAGTTGCTGACTTGTTCTTGTGTTTGCTTCTGTGTTTTTACCTGAGCAGGACAACTCTGAAGAGCGGCCCGTGTCCGTGAACAAGCAGCGGCTGGGCGCCATGGGTGACCGGCCGGCCAGACCTTCCCTGATAGAGCAGGTCCTCAACCAGAAGAGACTGGTGAGTCCCAACGCTGCTTTTTGACATAATGTACAAATACAATCCCTGGTAAAAAAACAAAAACAAACATACCTGTGTGTCCCGCAGTCCCTTCTCAGGAGTCCAGAGGTGATCAGCTTCCTGCAGCAGCAGCAGCAGCTCCTGGCCACACACAGCCGCAGCCAGATGCAGCAGCAGTTCCAGGGCTGCTGACCCTGGCTGACCCTGGCTGACTTGCATGGACAGAGCAGAAGGGGGGGATTTTACAGGGATTGGCCCATGTGGAAAAAAGGGTGCAAAAAGGACAATTTAAAGGCACTTTGAGGCTGGTTGATCATATCAGATCAATTAGAATAAAACCATCAAGAGGTGTGGATTGTTACTAGTGTTACTTTTTTATTAAAGAGCAGGCTAACTTAGTTCCTAACATACTGCTAATTTAGTTTAGTTGCATTGTCAATTCCCATTAGTTAGTGTTTTTCTTTAGCTGTAATAATGAGCGCTTTGGAATACAGTTGTATTTTGATGTGGATTTGTTGAGGCCCCTGAATTTACTGTGTGCTCTCCTAATGAGCACATTTGTACTTGCTGTTTTAGTGGTTTGTCTTTAAATGTCGTGACTTGTGACAATCGAGTGTCTTTGAAGCGTATTGGTCCCTCAATTGCTTGTGTTAAATTCCATCTGTAAATCTTGAATTGTTGCACAAACTGGAAGGTATGAATAAATGCATTTAAAGAGAATGCAAATGCTTAAAAACAACCCTTTATGGGGTTAAACTGAGAAACATAAGGTTATGTTTTTCTGTCTTTTTTATACATTTCACAGATTTGTTTTAATTTGTGTTTAGCAAATTTGAATAATTTTCTCTGAAAAAACAACTATTCAGGTTATATTCAGTTCTTGGAAAATAACATTTTAATGGAACAAGTATAATGCAGGCAGTACATGAAAACATTGGTCAACACATGGAAATACAGCACATACAATCATATGAACGCTTCTATAATGAGTACCTGCAGGTTTATCCCATTTCTCTGGTCTTGTGCAGTTAACATGTCCCAATGGAAACAACAATGAGCATAAATTCTTCACCGCACTGAAGTCTGACACCACTTGTAAGCTTAGAAGAACACCTTTCAAATGTCTGCCCTGAAATGATGAAGCTGTACATCCATTTCTCATTTCATGAAAGATACTGCGGAGGACCAAAAAGACATACAGAATATACGACTACCTGTCTGAAGAGAACAAGCACACACTAAAAGGTGTGTGTATGTATTCATGTTATGACACAGAGGAGATGGGGTTGTGTGGCGAGCCCATCTGTGTGAGGACCTTATCCAGCCACTGCAGGGGACCATGCAAATGCACTTCGATCCAGCAGGGGGTGCTGGTCACGTCCTGTCGGTGGTATTCAGCACCCCATCCCTGAGGAGTGGGCACAAGCATGCATTTCAGATGTGTTGGCAGCCTAAATGCCACATGATCAGGTATAAAGCAGGTTTAGGCATGCCTAATACAAATTTAAGCTCTTACACAGAATAAAAACACTCCATTGCCAATAAACAGATCTTCATTATCAGGCTGACTGTCCTTATATGTCGTAGATGATTTAAAAGACAGCTAGATACCTTCACAAAGCTCATCCGGATGGTGCACATCTTAGTGAGCTCATACACAACCTCAAAGCCATGGTTGACAGACTGGGCGAGGAGTTGTGCAAAGAGCTGGTTGTTGAAGATCTTGAGGCTGCAGCCACTTGGAATCTTACACACGGTGGTGGTGTGGAAGCCATGCTGGAAATTACAGTTGCGGCTCTGGACAAAAATGCTGCTGTCGCTAAGACACTCTGCATACACCTCCCCGCCTACATAGTACAGGTGTAAACCTGAGAAAACAACGAGGAGAAACAATCCATAAAGCCCATTTGATAGAGAATATACAACATAAAAACCACATGAGCTGTGAAGCAAATGAAGATATGTTACTTTATATTAAAGTAAAAGTCGTCTAAAGGGGTCAAATGCTACCACATTAGACAATACGGCAAATTAGAAATGTAAAAAATGTCAGCGTTTAAAAATAAAAAAATGTAAGGGCCAGTCACTGGATGGCTGTCGGACATTAAACAAAATGACTTCATCACCAGAGCTGTGCAGCCTACCTTTGCCTATGTGTCTGCGTGTGTGCTCTATGGTGGAGTTACGGTTGACGTTGGACAGCAGGCCGAGGCAGAAGCGGTTCTTGTTGTTGGATGGGTCCGTGAAGCCGTCTACCAAGACGCTGCGGGCAGAGGCGTGGAAGGTCTCCCCCACCCTGTTGTTGAGCTCATAGTAAGCTACTGAACACCAGTACTCAGGCTCCTCGTAACATACGGGCCTTAAATCTAAAGAGAAGGTTACATTACAGCTGTGTATACACAGGCAGGTGATTTCTACATATCTACATTTACGCGTATTGACGCTCGTTCAAATTCAGCATATACAAAATTACCTCTGTGTGGAGCAGAGAAAGTGAGTTTGGTGGTTTCTGTGGTGTTGTGGGGTTTCACATCCTCTGGAGGGCTTGTCTCCATCATACTATATGGAGGTGGAGGAGTGTCAGCTGTAGGGAAAAAGAAGGTTTAATGTACAAACATGTCAGGGTTACGCTCTACAACATCCAAGGTAAAGCAAAATCCACTTGTCTGGTACTCACAGTGGTTTGAAATCCTACCTGTGATGTGATACGGACTTCCAGGATCCGCGGAGCTGTTGGGGGAGTTTGGGTAACTTTGAGAAGTGGGGGACTGGGCAAGCGATGAGGGAGGGGAAGAGGAGAAAGAGGAGCAGGGCAGGGGAGGGAAGGAATCCGGGTATGTGGCGTTCTGGGGCATCAGGGGTTCATTGTGCAGAGAGGCGTTCCTGAACTTTGCCAGTAAACTGTGCTGAGGGTTGAACTCGCTGTGGCGCGGTACCAGGACGGGCGGTAACACTAAAAAGAGACCCAGACAAAAAAGACAAGACACTGGCAGAGCAGATAAAGAAAAGACAGATCCAGATCCAGCTGGGAAATGAGCTTAGGTTTAACCAAGTGCCTTTGGCTTGGGAACATTATGAGATCAGACATGCTGTTCCTATTGAAACTCACAAAAAAAATCTAATAATCTCCGTTTCTATGATAAACAAAAGAGAGCCTGTGCTCTGTGAGTGCATGTACCTGGAGTCTCCACCCGCCTGTAGTGGTACGGGTTGACGCAGATGTCCTTCTGCTTGGAGCCGAAGGGGAACTCGCAGCACTCCAGCGCTTTGAGCTCGTGGTGGGACTGCAGGTCCGGCCAGCGCCACACCCGGCAGTAGATGACGTGGGGCAGACCCTTTCTGTGGGACACCTGCAGCCTCCCGTCCAGCGAGCGGGGAATCGTCACGCACTTACCTGAAAGATTCAAATAAAAAGACTATTAGAAGTCCTCATTACAGCTTTACATTTCTCAGCTTTTTATGTGCGTTTGTGCATTTGTTCTTAATTGTTATCATTGTTTAGTATGAGAAGTAAAATGACACATTACATTACAGGAAAACATCAGAGTTTAAGCAGCATGGCTCCATTTCCTCTGCTGGGGTTAGAGCTGAACCCCAGCAGAATGAACATTTCAGTGTCCAAAAAGAACAACTAAATCTGGAACATTTTGAGATGATTAGAAGAACACGAAAGATAAACAAATTTCAGATGCACTAGTATGAACAGAATTTTTGGACTAAAATAAAACCATATGAGAGAAGAAAGAGGAAGACAAGAAAAAAAATCCATATTTGATTAAATAGTAACAACTCAGTGGAAAAACGAACTAGAAATAAAACTTATCTTTTAAAAAAAAGTTGGTATTTTTAAGTTAGCTACTTATTGGGAGAAACATGATGACTAAAGCTGTCAAAATAATATAGTGGAAAAACAGAAATGTGGTGGGCGGCACAGTAGAGTTTACATGTTCTCCCTGTGTTTGCGTTTCCTCTCCATCCAAGAACCTGCACATTAGGTTGATTGGACATTTTGAATTGCCCTTAAGAGTGAGTGAGCCTGGTTGTTTGTCTTTGTGTGTCTCTGTGTAGCTTGACCGGCGGACTGTCCAGGGTGGACTGCCTCTCACCCATTGACTACTGGGATAGGCTCCAGTCCCCACGTAACTGGTCGACTGGGAATTTGGGAATAAGCGGATTTGTGGTGATATATTGTAGAGAAAAAATGAAAAAATATTAATTTTAATTTGTCTAAATAAAAATGTTCAACAAAACTTTTTTAAAGAATTTTAAGACAGCCCAAGCAAATATTATTTTAAAAAATCAGGACATTGAATTTTTGCCATTTTTCTCATCCTGCAAATCTTCCTGTTAGGATTATCTGTGGATGGTCTTTTTCTTATGGATAAATAGAAAGCATGACTTTTATATTCTACAGCGTGATACTCACTGGGCTGCCCCGGGCAGCTGAGGGCTCTCTCCAGTTCCTCCATTGCTCCTTTCTTCTTCTTAAGTTTCTTCACTAGAGAATCTACTGCCTTTTCCGCCCACTTCTCCTCCTCATCCCCTTGTTTCCAGCCAAGCAGGCGCTTGACTGCCGGGCTGGTGAAGGAGAACAATGATGTAATGGAGGTAGAGGAGTTCATTTTGAGATGGATAAATGAGTGGCGAGATGAACTGATAAGTCCAGTTAATGGGATAAGAGCTCCTTTGAGGACAGAAGTGAAAAGGCCAAAAAAAACAGAGCAGCCAGGACACAGAAAAAAAAAAAGAGGCTGAGATAAAAGAGGTAGCGTGATGAGTCTGTGTAAACAAAGACTGTTTTTTTTGTATTCGGCAGTTACTTCCGAGCAGCCCTGGTGGAGGAGTTGGACTGCGGCCAAAGCAGGGAAAAACCTAAATCCCCTCTCAGTTTTGGCCCTGGAAGGGATCTGACAGCTCTGGATTAGGAGGTTGTCCCTCGCGCAGCCAGAATTCCAGGTCAAGTTTCAATCATCTGGCAAGAAACACAAGAGATTAATTATATTAACTGACAGTTCTGCCAAAACAGATGCAAAGTTTGAGGTTAGGGAGCAGAGAGATGCTGGGGTTTACTTCTTACTGAGGTAGTACATTTGGCAGGGAGACGTGAGCACAGCCAGAGTAGATACTCATATTTGATGAACAGGGAAAGAGAGGTGGATTTCCATCATAAAGAGTCTGTATCAGCAGGCTTACAGAGAACATGTCTACATCAGTCTGATCTCCGGGCCGAAAAAACGATATTATTATTCTCCCTGGAGAAAAAATGAAACGCTTAACAAAACTGTTTGAGACAGAGCCGGCCAAGATGGCCAAGCTCATTTCTAGATTCACCAACAATGAGGAATGTCCTTTCTGGCCTCTGTTTCTATGATCATGCCACTGACGCCCAGGAGCCATACTGTCTGGCCAGAACACATCACAGGGCAGGAGGGGGAGAGGGAGACAGGGAGGGAGACACACAGACACTTCTCTCCTTGTGTTTGTGTCTCTCTGTCTGTCTGGATTACACTGGAAATGACCAAAATACATGCTTTGAAGCACAATTGTATCTACTCCAGAGCGCAATAATGAATGCATTTTTCCCCCTCAAATATTTATGTAAGAAGTGTGTTAAATACAATTGAAAGTTTTTGACTGTGTGGCGTTCAGGTTCTGGGGACATTGTCTTTTGACAGAAAAATACACACTTCTATATGGCATTATCTATTTCTTGATGGAATCAGGCTTTTATGTAATCATTCAAAATGTATTCTGTTCTGTTTAGATGCAGATGAATTTGTCTTTTTTCTTTTTTGGGGGCAAATAGACTCTAAAAAGGTGACTGGACTTTATTTAACCACACATTTAAGCTGAGTTGGACCCACGTTTCTCTCAAATATTGTACTTTGCTGTAAAAATGGAACTAAACTTTACACAGGTAATATTTGCATCCGGCCCCTGGGGCTTGTAGGCAGACATGTGGACGGCACCGGCCTCTGGTCTAAGCAGACAGCTGGGGTTTTACAATGACAGCAAAAGCGCACCAGCTCAATGCGGCATCAGCGCGCTGCTGCTGCTTTTATGGAGCCTGGCGTCACTCAGTCTGCAGCCGCAGATAGGCTAATTACCTAATGCTTTATCACCAGAACACCCCTTTCCAAAAAAGTAAACAAGACGGTTTCCTTTTACAATCACTCCATGCAGCATTTTTACAGCAACAAAACCCGGATTGTGCAGCAGCCCCTGCAGAAGCGCACCTTTCGAGGTTAAACGTGTTCAGAAACTGTTCAGTCACTGTTCAGATTTTAATAACCAAAGAGGCATAAGATGCCAAAAGTGACAATCAATAAATCAATCAATCAAGCAGAGATGTCTAAGGCATAACTTTTTAATGGAATGGCTCACGTGCTCACGATATTAATCGTAGTGACGTTATGGCTGAAAGTTTATTTCTAACACAATCTGCCCCCTGACAATAGCCAACAGGTAAACAAAGAAACAAAAAAAATCTTCCACAAATGTTTAAAACAACCACCTTTAATATTCATCAGGCGTATACATATCTTACGATTGATCAAATGGGCAACAAATATCAAGTGAAAAGTTGGAGGATGCGGGTTTATTTTCTCACCTCTGAAATGACAACAAGTGCAGAGCAGGCGGCCGCGTGAGTGGACACTCCTCAGCCTGTAGTGGTCAGCCACTCATGCTATGAAGGTGTGCGCGTGTGTATCTCTCTGCCTGTGCGTGCGCATTGTGTCTGCGAGGATGCGTTCACGTTAAGAGTGAAGAAACTGTTGATACCGTCCGGCATACGGCTGGTTGTTTCAAAATAAAATCCCTCAGGTAATCAAAACCCACACTAACTATAAAGGGGGGAAAAGTCATTATTTGGAATAAATTAAAAATACCAAACATGACTATTTTTGGCGATTTCCAAGGTTTGAACCGCATGCTTTACATTATTTTACTGACTGAACTTTTTTTTCATGTACGGTTATGGCATTTTCAACTTGCTAGAAGAAATTCAAATTTAATATAAGGAATTTTCCTCTATGTTTTCTCTTTTGCAAAGTCAAGTTTAGTGGCTGAAGACCAGCTTGACGGCATGGAGAATACAAACAAAGACTAGAATAATAAAAATACAACAGATACAGACTACTCACATCGTCTTTATTGTGAAGATCCTGTCCCGGTGCGTTCCGGTGGGGGGATGCTCGGTGGATTGACGCAGGTCTGGAGGGCTCCACTCCTCCAGAGCCGCAGCAGAGCTCCACACAGCCCCGCCGGCGTCAGCCTGGCTGGAACCGCAGCGCCCCGGCGAGAGATCCCTCCGCCTCCCCCCTCCTGGAACCTTCCCAGAATTTCAGGGATTTCAGATTCGGCGCTTGCAGCGCTGCAAAAAGAAGAAAGAGGAGGAAAAAAAAAGGGAGCTGGCGTCCCACCTGAGCTGGGAGCACAATAACGTATTCATCTGGTTCTATGAAAGTCCTGAAGCATTCACACCTGTCCTCCTGTCCTATACCATTTCAGGGACGTCCTACAGACATTTCCTGATACATATTCCAAAAGATGCATGTTTATAGTAGACATTGTTACAGAGTTAAATGTTTAAAATCTGCTTGAATATTGTAGGTTCTGATGGATGAAAACAGGAAGTGTAGCTAATAGATCTTGTTTGAAATGAGAACACGCAATTTCACCATGACTTTAACAAGATGGACTACCTTGGATATTTTTATGGTCACAATGACTTTTCGTTTTTTTTGTAATAGTGCAATTTGAGAAACGCTTCGAAACTTTTCTTCCTCGTGTCTCCACGCACTCACACACACTCTGCACCTGTAGTGTGAAGACAGGTAAAAGTGACCATTTATGTGAAGGAGCAGCCCTAGGTGCTCCAGCTCCATGTCCAGATCCCCCCACCCCCTCCGGGGCATGAAATGATCCTCTGCTTCAGAAAACATCCAGTATGATGATTACTGGGGTGCTGTTGGGAGCCTTGCAGAAGCCGTAGTGACTGCGGATGGATACGTGCCTTACTGGGAGTGCTCTGACTGGTCCAGTTAATGACGCAAGCCCGGCTGGCGACAGAGAGTCTACAAGTTTGACATTTTCACAGTTTACAGCAACTGCTGCGGGACATAACGGTGCTTCCAAAGCTTTGGGGACCATGTCAAACAGGGAAATTTTTCCCCCACCTTCCCCCAGGTAAATAATCTGAATACAAAATCCTGGCGATGTGCCCCACATAAAGTGGTCTTTCATAGCCAGTGACAAAGTAACTTACCTCCCCTAACCCCCAAAAACCCAAAACAAAAAAAGTGGGTGAGGTGCCTCCTGGTAAACTGTGTAGGAGACATTTCAGGGAACAGGTAGAGTCTGTGCGTTTATCGTCTCTATTCGGGTTTACAAATTCCCATTATTGACAGGATTCCGGCGACAGGATGTTAAAGATATGTGGTCATGATTCACCGTCTCTGCGTCCTGTCTGGGTCCAGGGGGCAGAAGAGGGGCAGGGTGCAAACAGGATGCGCTCCCGGGCTGTGGGAGGCCCCGCAGACACGCGCGTGCGCGCCACTCTGGACCTCAGGCTTGCACAATAAAACACAACTATTAAAGTTCATTTCCTTACACCACAAAAACGCGTACTGGGCTTTTTTTTTATTTTACAAACGACCCATTTGAGGGTTGAGAAAGAAAGGAAATAACCTAATTTAAAAAAAGTTAATTTAATGTCCAAATGGTTTTTCTTAAAAGAAAAATAAACATGACATCTTCTGCCCTGATAACTTTCATCTGACCTCATGTCATTTTAGTTAATGATATATTGTTCAATTTCTTTCATACTTAAAGAATCATAAATTCAGTTAGATCCTGCAGATTAGCTGTAATAAGATCAGTAGCCATTAATTATGCGCCGTTTCTCTGTGGACAGGACATGTCTGATGGTGCAGCCAGTGGGGGATTTCATGGTGCAAAGAAACCCACCAACCTGGGAGCAAAAGTAGGGAAAGGTGGAGGGATTTAACTACAATCTTCTTTCTGGGCTCCTTGAGATATGGTTGGTTTTACCTTTTTACAACACACTAAAATAGAAATGAGCATCTTACAGACATTTATGCAACTCTACTCCAGTCCGGTCACAGTTTGACCGGCCGTATACTGACCTTACATGGCGACCCGCTGCTCTTTGTGTGGTGCCCGTCGCCTCAGGTTCTTCGGCACAGGAATCACATCTTTCCCAGAAGAAGCTGGATAACAGGCTAATCATGCATTAGTCTTTGTGTTTTCCTCAATTTTCTTGATTTAATGTTTATCATTTGTGGGGTTGTGCACATAATATCATTACTGAAGCCTCATTACTTCATTATCTCCAATTTTCCTCTGACAAGGCTTGTTGTAGCTTCTGTTTAGGAATATATCCAATGCCTCTTTTTGTTTCAAACACTCTTAACAACCCAATTACAATAATGATGAAAGCATTAGCTGATAATAGGAATTGCTTGTTTTGACTGAACCATCTGGTCCGACAAAAGCCGTTACTCCTATCCAGTGGTGGAGGTTTTGAAATCAGATCTGTGAAAAAATAGAAATGACTAAACAGATCAGAAGGATTTCCTTTTCAATCTCTGCTCGTTAAGAAGTCATTCATCAACCGCTGCAACTTGAGTAAGTATGTTCACATCAGTTATTAAAAATATGTCATTTACTTTTTATTTAATTTGTTTCAGCCCATCAACCCACAGTCATCTTACATTCTCCACAAAATGCCCTCCTGCTGAAAAAACACACAAAACAGTCGCTCTCCCTCTGACAATGACGATCACTGACGTGATCCTCCACATTTCACTACAAGCATTTCATTTACAGCTGGTTGGACACATGATAAACAATAAGTAACTCAGTATACGGATACATACAGACTTCCTGTATGGCGTGGCAACACAAAGTCATTTGGAACTTTGGCAGTAACATACCAACATCCACATAAAAAGGCAGGACCACGAGGAGCCGACAACTGTTCTATTACCTCTCAGATAGCAAAGTCTGGAAAAAGAAAACGCATTCTTTGCTCATTAGTCGTGATTACAGTGAAAGATTTACACAGTTGTACTCCCAGCTCACTGAAAGGCTCCATGGTCCGATCATAGGTTGTCTCTACTAGTCAAGGGCTTCTCTGATTGGCTAATCAGTCTTATTTTGTGGCTGCAGTTTCCAGGCTCCAGTAATGTAGCGCAGGCGGATGAAAATCAGGTCCAGTCCCATCTGTAGCCAACTCCAAAATGGGACCAGCTTGGACCCTGGCGAAGCCAAACCATCGGAACTTAATTTTCAAATGAAGCTTTTATAAGACAAACAATCACATTGGTCGTCCAAGTGGACGCACAATGTGATTGAATTAAAAAGTCTTTCTAACAACAGTGGCAAGAACTAGATAAGAAGCAGGCAGATATTAAAAAAAGCAATGGGTCTTTCAGCCCATCCGTGAAAGGTATTTATAGAGCTTAAAACAGGTGGCACAGTGTCCACATGTTCCATGAAAAACCTACCTTCTATTTCAGTCCAGTTGACCGCAACCTCAGCTATGGGGATTTTAAAACACTGAGCAATGTACAGTAGCTCCACATCAAAGGCCCTGGGGGAGGACAAATACAAGTGCAGGGCGGATATTAAAAAACTGAGTAAATATTCAGGTTTTACTTCAGCTACAAAACATGTCTAATTATAAGTACAGCATGTTGAACATCAGTGCTTCAATTTACCTCTGAATTATTTTTGGTGTTCTACCAGCTTTAAATACCATTTTAAACGTTCTGTTTCGAAAGCAGTCATAAGGTCCAGGACAGATGAACGTCTCTTACCATCGCTCTACGTGAAGTGAGGAGAAGGTCTTGAGAGCAGCGTCTCGTGTGAAAAGCTTGAAACCACATTGTGTGTCCCGGATGCCCCTCACACAGAAGAACCACACCAGGAAGTGGAAGCCATACATAAGAAATGTACGAAACACAGATCTCTGAGGAGATACATGAGTTGGAATTTCCTTATTATAAATGCTATAACTAAGAATGCTCGTTTTCAAGAGGATGAGAGAAATTACCTGAGCTACAGACTTTTCTTCTAGATGAGCTCTGGAGCCACATGAAATAGCCAAGTTCTCCTATATGGAAGAGAGACAATTCTTAGGACATATCAAGTACTGTTCACCTATGAAAGTATGAAAATGGAGAATCAACATCACAACTACAACCCACCGGCCCTGGATTAAGTTCTTTAAGTCCAGCCTCCACTTTTTCAATGTCAGCAAACTTTGTGGCCCCATCTGCATCTGCCATCAGAATTAACTTCCCTCTGGAGCTCAGAGTTCCCTTTATCAGCACCCAAAGAGACACAGACTATGTGTAAAATCAACTCCACTCTAGTTTCTGTTCTGAATTCAGACGTTTTACATTCTTACCATCCGCACAGCTCCTCCTTTCCCCCGGTTCTTCACCAGAGTCAGCACTCGAACTTTTTCTGCACTGTACTTCTTCATGTAGTTTAGAGCAACCTGGAAGGATATCACAACACAACTAACAAAACAAAAATGGACTTGAAACAGTCTCTGATTATCTTAAATTGAATTCAATAAACCACATTTCCAAAAAAAAGGTTTCAAATGGTTACCTCTGTGGTTTTGTCTCTGCTGCCATCATCAACCACGATGACCTCGTAGGTAAAAGAGGGGGTTTGCTTCTGCAGAATGGTAATTTTAACAGATTAATGTCATGACATGCACTTTTTGAAAAGATCACTGCTGCCGCCTAGTGGCAATTGTGAAAATGTAACACTTCTAGCAAAAGTTGCCCCATAAAGTCTACCATTCTCCAGCCTCCCTAAAGGCAATCTCTGTAAAGATTGTCGGGAGATAAGTCTTAAACCCCTTGAAATTAGTTGGGTTTCTAGAGGCAAAATAAACGATATATGTGGTTTAATTTAACAGTGTAGTGCTTACCTGTCTGTTTTCCAAGTACTCAATAGCTTCATCCAGCATCACAGGCACTGAAATGGCACAAAATGACACATGTATTAGCACCTGTTACCCACTGCAGGAATGCTTTGACACAACACACAAAAAAGCAGGATTGTGAGATTTAAACTGTACAAACTTGAATTACAACAGTGTTGTAATTGATTAATTGATTGAACCTAATCATGAGTGGTGCTCGCTCAGTTTTAGATGAGGAAAACAGGACAAAGATGGAGTGTCTACTAATGTCTAATTATGTTACTGAGCAGAAGGTTGTGACAGAAAACCCAAGCCTCACTAACTTCTGAGCTCCTCGTTGTAGGCTGGGATCACCACAGAGAGCTCTCTGGAGTGGGGATCATGCAGACTGGGGAAAGGCTCCTTCTCCCCGGTGGCAGTAAGGAAGTATTTCTCCTTTTCATGGCGTGTCAAGTCCACCATCTTTGCAGTTAAATGGGCTATTACAAGAACCTGAAATGTGAAAAAAACAAAAAAACAATGAGAATGCAGTCATTTTTTAATCCGACAGGCAGGTCTATTTCGATTTCTTGTTTTATATTGATCAGAAATAGGGAAGAGCTGTGTAAATAAGTTTAACAAATAAACTCTTATTTACACAATGCACCTTGTCTAGATTACATGTCACTGTGGCTCTACAGTTTTCATTGATACAATTTGAGTGCTTTATTTTACACCCTCCAATGCTTTTCTCTTTTATTTATTTTAACAAAAACAAAAATAAACTATTTTTATATCATTATTTAATAGAGTCAAATGTCAATCTGTTATAGTAGTAGTAGTAATAGTTATCAAATTAAATTGACTACAGGTGCAACTACTAATGAGGTAGTTCAGTTTGAAATCTAAACTAACCAGACTTAAACAATGTCCCGTGACGAAAGCCACCTTGTCAATGTTAGTGTCCACCAGTTAGTAGGTTTATCAACAAATCTTTTCAACAGATTCTGCCCTGATGAAACAGAACCTGTCTCTGCTTAACTGACAAGTTAAAAATGTCTGCAAACACAACATCAAACAACGCTTACATTACCTACCACAATTAAAGCAAAAGCCGCTAAGGCGACGAGAGCTTGAACTATTTCACAGACGAAATCCATTTTCCACCAAACTCTCCTGCGGCCACTGACAGCCCACCTGTCTAGGGAGCTAGCTATGAAGCTAGCCTGTTCCTTTTTTGTTTGGCTCGTACCTTGTAGCTGCTTCTCTGACTTACAAATACATGCAATGAAATAGAAGCTCACGAGAATGAGTTTGAGAAACAGGTACTAAATAAACCTCTATATTTCCATTTTCTGTGGGTAGTTCAATGAGCTCCACTTCCAATCACAACCTAACACAGATGCAACGCGGAAGTAACTGCCTGTACACGACATACACCGACACATCATCATTTGGAGGCAAGAGAGGACCAAGCAGCTCCTTGGGAGCCATGCACTGCCATCTAGTGGTTAGGAGTGGGAACTGTCATTCCTTAAAATTAATCATAACGTGGTGGTGATGACTATGAAGTACATACAATTATAAGACTTATTCAATCCTGAAAGAAACAAAATAATACAATAATGTACGTCGTCTGTAGGATTTCTAATATGAGAATTCTCCTTAAAAATCATTTGATCACATCAGTGCATAAAAGATGCAAATACAAATGGTGATTTTTATCAGTGCACTGTTTTCTTTCCCATCAACCCATTGAAGATCGTTCTCAGCTTTTAGGTTTTACCTAAACATGAGTGACTCTGAGTGAAAATGATTTCCTATTTTTTCTGAAATATCCGGAGATTTTAGAGGAAACCTTTTCCTTCCTGCCCCAGAAGTCTTCCAAATTAAACATTTTAGTATTAGCTGTTTTAGATGTTTAGATATGTTTTCAGATATGCGCCGATTTGAGGAAATGTAAAACTAATCAAATGTTTAAATGGTATTTGTTGTACTGTTCTAAACTGGGCAAGCTGCAGCCGCATAAAATCCTCTTTGGAGATGAGCGAAGTGTAACTTAATTGGCGTCTCACCACCCGGCCACCGTAGGACAAACCCACGTGGCTAACCAAAACATCATGGCGGCTGGTTTCAAGTAAGAGCGTACAAATAGTGTGTTGTGATTGAGAATGTTCATATGTCAGTCATTTTTATCTATGATTACTGGAGACTAAATAAGAATCAGACATGCCAGCGTGTTGTTTCTGTTCTCGTGTTAACCAGCCCTCTCTTTCTTCAGGACTGCAGAGCCTCTGGAGTATCACAGGAGCTTTCTGGTTAGTGAACATACATTTTGGTCTACCCTTACGATTAAGATTGTCGTTAGATTTTCAGCTCCCGGAGATTGATATGCAATCACTTTTTCCAGAAAGAAAACTGTCGACCAGATGGACGGGAGCTGTTTGAATTCAGAACCACAACGTTGAACATCGGTGAGGCCAGAAGCTGGCTCTGAAACGATGCTAAACATTGCTACGGAATGGTTTACAATCCGCTGTTTTTCTCTCTCTTTCTGATCAGGGTCCATATCCACGGCGGATGGCTCCGCCCTGGTGAAGATGGGAAACACCACCGTCATCTGCGGCATCAAAGCGGTACACATCCACAGTGATGGGAAAATTAGATTGCTGAAGCTGACAAGAGGGTTTTAGTACAGAAAGTCACAAACCCAAGATAAACGAGTAAAGGAACAATATCAATCGTTGATAACTTGAGAAATATCTTTTCACCTTCATATCTTCTCTGGTCGGATAATCTCTGATAAATTATTACAAGTAGAGTTATTTTGATACCTTTATCTTGCTAACATCTAGTCTTTTTTTATGTTGTTGAAAAAACAGGTCTATAACTGTTGCTTTTTAATAACTAATAGCTTATAATTCCGTCTGCAGGAGCTTACAAACCCCACAGTGGAGGCTCCTGGTAAAGGTTACATTGGTGAGTACAGTGAAACCCTTTTCTATGTAACTGTAGGACAGGTGCCACCCTTATGTCTACAGGATTAAGTAATAAGCTGCTACTCTCTCTGTCCCCGTTAGTGCCCAATGTGGATCTGCCTCCTCTGTGTTCCTCTCGGTTTCGGCCGGGTCCGCCGGGAGAGCAGGCCCAGGCCGCCAGTCAGTTCATCGCTGATGTCATCGAAAGGTGGGACAGACTTTTATGGCTCTTCCTTAAAGTTTTCTTCAGGTGTGGGTGCTGTTCACACACCCGCCACTGCTTCCTCTTACGTGTTTTATGTATGCATTGCAGCTCTGAAGTGATCAAGACGGAGGACTTGTGCATTGACAGAGGAAAGGTAAAGCAATGCTCAGACTACGGCTGTGTGGTGTAAATGTGGGGTTGTTCACAGTGGCCCTGCTCATTCTGGCTGCAGCTCTGCTGGGTGTTGTACTGTGACATCATGTGTCTGGACTATGATGGGAATCTCTTGGATGCATGCGTCATCGCCCTGCTGGCTGCCCTGAAGAACGGTAAGTGCTGTTAAAGTGACTTAGAACTAGAACTGAGCTAAAAAGAAGAAAATGTAGCGATATTTCAGTTTTACAGAGTTTTAGTCTGGTCCACAACGTTTCTGGACTGTTCACAGCACAACTCCCCGAGGTGACCGTCAACAAAGAGACATCCTCACCTGAGGTGAACTTCGAGAAGAGACACAGTCTTCGGCTTCACAAACACCCGGTTGCCGCCTCTTTCTGTGTCTTCGACGAGTACGTTCTGTCTTGTTGAAATATTTTCCCCAGTCCTAGTTTGCCCCGTGCGCCTGTACTAATCCTGGCCCGCTCTCTGTGAAGCTCCATACTGATTGTAGACCCCACGGCTGAAGAGGAGAGTCTGTCCACTGCACGTCTCACCGTGGTGACAGATGAGGAGGACCGGCTGTGCTCTGTACACAAACCAGGTCAGAATCAGCGGGTCGGGGCCTATTTAGGACACATAAAACAATTCTCAATTCTCAGAAAATCTAGGAGAGCAGATCTTTTTTTCTTTTTTCTTCTTAGTTTAAAATTCTCGATTTCCATGAGAGTTCCTATAATTTGATTAAATATGAAACTCACATACTCTTCTTGCAGCTTGAAATAGTTTCTCACTATGGAGCTCAAGCATAGTTTGCCTCTTTCTAGCCAAAATAAATTAAGAACGAAGCCATTTCAGTGGAGAAGAACTAAAAAAATGAGTAAATCCCAGATCAGACTGTATGCGGGTATCTTGCAGCTTGCAGGCTTTATGAGGTCGACAGACAATGCTTACGTTCTTGCTCTGACGCTCAGGTGGGACTTCCCTGTCGGGAGAGAAGCTGCAGGAGTGCATCAACCGAGCAGCCGCACGGCAGAGAGAGATCCAGAAACTCACCGACAAAGTTGTACACAGTGTTAAGGCGGCACAATGAAAACACACAGACCAGGCCTTTTATCTAAAAGCTGTATTTTCCACTGTCAATATATATTCTTTTAATAACAATAAAACTGCTGACAAAGACTGCTTAAAAAAATTATTTCTCAGTGTCCAGAAATGCATCACACACATGCTCAGCTGATGTCTCATAAGAAAACGCTCATGGCTCCTGAACTAATTAAAAGGAACTGCCTTTTAAAAATTTGCTGTACAAAAGCCGGCACACCGTCTTGCATGTTGCTCTTGAGTCCACGAGTAAGTCCCCGTCCCGGGACTGCTAGCGGAGGAAAGACTTCCAACAGGCTGAGAGGTAGAGAGCTGCCCCCGGGCACTGCTCCAAGATCAGGTTATCGTTTTCACATGTCACGGTTCTGTGGAGGATTTGGTGTAGACAGCTCAGCCAGGACTCGTGCTTAAAGGGCAGTTTCTACCAGGTTCAACCGAGCAGAGGCAGGAGGATCAGGCAGCCTCGTGCGGAATCCTCTGAGAATGTGCATTCATGATCCCCTCAGCCCACAGGGCCTCCACAGAGAAAAAGTTCCTGAAGTGGAAATGTGTTATTGTGGAAGCCCACTACCTACAAGAACCATCTTCTTCTGGCTCATCTCAAAAATATCACTTGGGTTCTTTTAAGTTTAGGGCTTCCTGTTGTTAAAAAAAAACAAACAAAAAAAACATCCTCTACAGTGAACAGTTAAATTTTTCCAAAACCTCTGAGAACCATTACATACAAATTTGTCAGCTAGAAAAAAAACAAACAACAAACGAGTCTTTTTATTTTTTTGTCTGCCGTCTCCACAGTGAGGCAGACAAAGAGCACAGTATGGATCATTCGTGTCCTTATGAAGACGGGGAAGGGACTGGGTGTGATTTTAGTCCGTCACGACTTGGGGAGGGGCTGCGGGGTGCTCCTCTTCCTTTTACTTCTTGGTTGGCTGGCGGTATGCTGCCGTGCCGCTCCCCCCTGAGGAGGTGCCGCTCCCATAGCCATTTGCTGCTGCTGCTGCTGCATTTGGTGCTGCAAGAATTGCAACTGTTCAATAAAAAAAAAAAAATGAAATAAAAAAAACGTAGAAAAAAAAAATCAGGAGATTTTTCAGTGAGTTTACTTTATGAGCTTTATCATGAAAAAAATACTGTCAGCTCCTCTAATGCATATGTAAGCATCTCTTTCACACAGAAACAGGAATCACGTCATCTTCAGAAGGCTTTGTGTCACGATGGCATGGGTTAGTGCAGCTGGACTAAAGCATGGTGCGTAAGACATAAAAGAGGAGGGGCAAGAAGACAGAAGAGGGGTTAATGGGTTGCAGAGGGGGAGGGGGAGGAGGTGTTGGGAAGTGAGGCAGGATACAGTCAAGCAGCACCAGTGTCATCTGGAGACACAAAATTCTTGGCCGTGATCCCAGCAAAAAACAAACATGCAGCTTAGCAACCGTGCTTTTCTGCTCAAAGAGTAAGTCAGCAACCTCAGCTGAGGCAAAAGAAGTGGATAAATGACACCGTCATAAATTCCAGCTCATGCTCGCGGTGAACAGCCTGTCACCTCGGTCATGATGCATTCAGCAACCGCTCTAAGGTATTTGGGGCCCTGGCCCTAACGGCATGCCTGCCTCTCTGTTAGTTGCTGCAGTTGAGAGTACCACAAGCTCCTGTGTGCGGATCGCTGGGAGTGCTGAGACTAATCTGGTCTCGATCAAGTAGCATACCAACCAACCAGACACACAACACAGGATGGGGTGGATTTTTAACCAAATAACCCCCAAAACAAACGAAAATGAAAAACAGTGGTGATGGAGGATTTGGATGAAAATCAGAACTTTGGTGCCAGTTTCAGCTTCAAATATTATTCAACAGTAAAACAACCCAGAAAAAAATGAATGTATCGCCAGATGTCTCTGAATGTTTTTGCTGAGTATAATGAGGTAGAATAAATTAGCTTGGGCTATTTATCTATAAATAATATGACATGCAGCATAGATTGGTTTCAGAGAAAGTTTTTTCTTAAAACAAAATGAGTGAACATGGACGTGATGGCAGATGGAGAAATCCTAGTAATCTTTAGCATTTGAAATGAATGTAGCTATTTCTCCAGCAGCGTAACACCTGCTGGCTGAACTAAGCCTTGGAGGGTTGGCTGGTGACTCATCTGAGCGTTTGGCTGCGACAAACTTAGTAAGTGTATATATGGATGTTAATGTTGCTGTATTACTTGGATCTGTGGTTGGTGCTGCTGCTGAGGCCTTGGAGAAGGCATCGGGGGCCCAGACCCGTCCAGCCCACAGCCCAACTGGGACAGCACTGAGGGGAGGGGAGGAGGGAGAGAGGGAGCCCCAGAGGGAGGGTTTGATGGTCATTGGGAGAGAATCACAACAAGGTATGGAGTGAAGCACGAGGGGGGGGGGGATATGCACACAGAGGCAAGAGGGGCAACATTGAGGAAGATGAGGGTTCAGTGAAATCAAAAGCGAGATGGAAAGATGGAACAAAAGACGACAAAATGGGAGGCCAGTTGCAGGTAAAGTCCCATGGGTTTGGATTGAGGGCAGAGAGCATGAATAAAATGAGGATGAAGGTGTAAATGAACAGGAAAGTTTGGGAAGAGGGAAAAGAATATAGCACAGGAGGAAAAAGAACAAAGGTGGGGGCAAAAAAACAACAAAAACAAAAGTAGCAGAGAAGAATCGGAAGTTGGGTCTCTCCAATCAGTAGTTACACGCTCCACTGAGAGGAGCAATGACTAAGTTCAGCAAAAATGATCAAATGATTAACTCAGTATTCATGAACAGTAGTTACCATAATGAAGACATTAGTATGATTATGATTAAAACTGTTATTCCTGCTAGTCAGTGGGTTGACGCCACTGTCGAAAACATGTCAAAGGAGTGGATGAAGAACATTATTTGGAGAAAAGTGCGTGTGGCCTATGTACACCTTTCTGCAGGCGTGTGCTTCCTACCTGCTGCCTGCGGGGACATGAAGCCTCCCACCCCCAGGTTGATGACAGCAGTTTGTTGGTTTCCTAAACTCTGATCCGAAATCTGGTCACTCTACAGAGAAAAGACAAAGGGAAACATAAGGTGATGGCTTCCAGCACAAATGCTAACTAAACAAGACTGTGAATTACAGATGTAAGTAGCAACACTAACACTCAATTACTTTATTCAATCATATTCAGAAACAGAAAAGACCCGAAAAAGCTCTGGCACAGATTAACACAACATCTGCAGTCCTGTGCGAGCTTAACAATCTTTAGAAGAGACCGGTTTTATCTGAATCAGGTGTGTGTAAAAGCAGGGAAACCTCTAAAAACCTGCAAGAATGCGGCCCTGGAGGCCTGGAGTTTTCTACCCCTGCTTTAGAGGAATCTGCCCTGCCTTAACCCAGACTAACCCAAACTCCCAGTCCAACCTTTGCACAATGCATCACAGCAAGCTGCAAAGCATGACACCCGAAGGATTCAGAGCCAGACATCACAGCACACCCACACACAGTCTGTCCGGCAGCTCAACGGGGAACAACACACCATCAAACAGGTGGTGTCAGAGCAGTGGTACCAATCCCAGGACGTTTTCATGGAATCAAAGCAAGTCTGTGTGCATTGAAACTAAAATACACTGCAAATAATTTCTATATCAGACATGAGACGTTTAAGGAGACAGCAGTTTTTCCGAGGGTTACAAAGCAGGACACCTCTAATCTTAACAACAGTTTCCTCCTAGAGTTATCTCTTTCAGTCTGAACACCAACATAAGAAAGAACAACTTGTCTTCCCTGCCTTTAAGGTATTTCCCTTCTTTATTCTTATTTTGTTGCATGCATGGCTCTTCTGGGCAGCAGCTATTTAGTACATGATCTGCAGACACTAACAGTGAGTGGGAACACTCACAGTTATTATCTATGCTAGCAAATGGTTTAAAATGTGCTCATACGCGAACACACGCTTTGCTTACAAACAGTGGAATTTCGCAAATAAAAACAAACAAACCAGCCTGTTGGGTTAATATTTGACTGTATCTCAATCGAAAACTTTCTTTCCACTAAGGGAGCGCTAGCGTGCAGTAATACTATGAGAGCACATACAGGTAACTCTAATGCTGACACTGCTGGACTTCCTTTAAGCGGGACAGATTCTGCACAGCCTGATCTTGGCTGCTTCCGCAGTCTTCACTGGGTCTGTGTGCATGCGGAGGTCTCACCGTCTCCGCTTGCTGCTGAGGGCTGGACGTTGCTGACTGACTCTGCTGAGGCGAGAACTGGGGCAGCTGCTGCTGCTGCAGAGAGTTAAAGATGAGAGGGCCGGTGGGGATCTGGAGATGAACAACATGGACACACCAACACACAAAAGGTGGAGGGGGAGGAAACACGGGGAGATGAGGATGGAAGGGAGGGGCGGATGTAGGGGGATAAAAAAGGCAGAGGGGAAAGGAGTGATGTACGTGTAATCGAAAAGGGGAGGAAGAAGGAAATGGGAGAGTTAACAAGGCACTCAACACAGGCCATCTCCACTATCAAGTAATCAGAACTACAAAGGAACCCAAAGGGAACGGCACAGGAACTTGTTCTACTTGTTGCTTTCATTGTGCATATCGCTGCAGTTCTAGAGGTAGAGGGTGGCAATAATTCCTTAAAAAGAAAAACATTATACAAAAGGTGCAGGCCATCGAGGAACTCAGTGATCTGCATTGGGCATATGCAAATAAAGTCAAATAGAAGAAAGCATGAGGAGATCTAAGCTGTGCCGCTGCTTCACACTTCGTTGTTGGAGGTAAGTTAGCAGAGGTAAGGATCAGGCCAGACATGCTCACTAGTCATCCAGAATAGGTGGCACTGAGGCGTACCTGAAGCAGGTTCAGGGGTCTCAGCCCAGCACTGTTGTTGAGTCCAAAATGACTCCCTGAAACACAAACCAGAGAGCAGAACCTCAAAAGAATGAAATATAGTCACCTCGTGGCACAAAAGGAGTGTTTTCTGCCGACACAGGGGACTTTACTGGACCTGTGCTCTTAAGCAACCCCAGTTCCAAAATGGTTTGGATTATGTTCAAATGCAAATAAAATAGAATGCAATGATGAGCAAATGAGCAACATGTATACACAACCGGATCCAGAAAACATGACAATATCAAGAGAGAAACACTTTACATGTTTTCAATACTATAATTGTTCGTGTTTAATTTGATTTCTATGTTCAAAAGTCGTTAAAAAGACACATATTGATGATCTTACAAGTTAAAGCTGACTTGCTGTTCTAGCCTCTTTTAAGACTGGGGTTGAAAGAAGTTTGTCTGCTTTTTTAGCCTTGTGGTTTAAGACTGTGTTTCCAAGAACTGTTTTTATTCTTTTCAAGTGGGAGATCTTGGAATAAAATTCTCAGGCGCGTTTCCATAGAGGCTGATCTGTGATTCGACACACTGCATCTATCATTTAAAAGTAAAAAATAAGGGGGAGGATTTGTCAGACAACCGGTGATAAAAGCGCAAAACATAATCTCAGTTTGTCTGGTCCACCACATATTGTTGGTGCTGTTTAGTAGAGTGAAGCCGTGGGGTTTCTCTGTCCTCAGAGAGGCTGGATGTTCCTTTACTGCTGCTGATATTCCTTCACAGAGATTGGGTTCAGTGGGTTGGAGACAGCCTAACGCGGGTGGTCTAATAAAGAGGAGCTTTAACACTCCGTTGTTTGCAGAGAGGGTTGTAAACGCGTTGGGATCTCTTACCGGCCTGGGCTGCAGACTGCATGGTGGACATCAAACCCCCAGGCGGCAGGATTCCACTCAGGTTAAGCCCTGGGCCCAGCATGGGGTTGGAGCCACTCATCAAAGTCTGAGGACTGCTACAATGACAGCACAGGACCAACGTGACGAAACAGTAACAGGCCACTCATGGTGTGTGATCAGAAGATTCCTTTGCTTACCAAACGGGGCCGACCACATTGATGAAGTTGAGCCCAGCTGGACTGGTCATGACCTGTGAGGAGGTGGTTCCTGTGGTGATGGACGTGCCCATGGTGGGCAGGGGAATGGTCATGACAGGAAGGGACTGGCTTAAAGCTAACTGCTGCTGGGCAAAGGGTGTGAGGAGAGCCGGCTGCGACTGGCTCTGAACCAAGGCAGGGTCCGAGGGGGTGGGGGTCACCGAGAGGGGGGCAGAGAGTGAGTCGGCCGGATGCGGGGTGGAGCATGGCGTATTTGTTGGTGTTGGCGTCGATGGCTTGGGGGTCCCCGATCCTAAGGAGGGGAAAGTGGGTCAAAACAAAACTCCAGCTTTCAGGGTTAATTCAGTTAGCAAATGGTGACTCGAGATCACAACCGCATAGAAATTCTGATGTTATTCCAGTGAAAAAGGGCCTACTGTTCTCTTGTTGAACATTCACCAGAGCTTATTAACAATAAATCCAACATCTGGAGAATTTAGGAGCCGTGACAATAGTTGATGCAAGACATTCCGGAACAGATCGATATCAGCCCAGCAGACTTGGCTCTACTCACTCTGTGTTGAGCCCATCGGGGAGAGGGAAGCAGGCGACAGAAGGCCCACCTGGCCCAGGTCCGCAGAGTGCTTCCTGTTCAGAGCCTGGCCTCTGGCTGGAGGTGGTGGTGTAGGACACTTAAGTAGACTACTGATAGTTTGTGAACTATATGGATTACCTGAAAACAAGACGAAACAGCAAATGTTTAAAGCACTCTTTAAAAGAAACGACAAGGTTTGGAGCGTGTTTCATAACCACTTCAACACAAGATATTACATACTATTACGAACACCAAGCATCAAGTTGAATTCTGTTTGGTTCCTGGGTTAATGTTGTGTTCTTAATATGTGTCACAAGGCTGTAATGATGCAAAACGAATAATCTAAATATTTACATTTTTTCGTGTTTTTGTAGCAATGAGGACTGTTTGCCCCATTTTTTCTGCTACCCTCTATAAAATGTGTGAAATCTCATAAAATGTACTCAACTATTTTTTTTTCTCTTGCACATGTGATTCTGTATCTGTTTTAAATTTTAAAAAATTCAGGAATCAATCAGGACCGCGGTATTTTTCTGTTTCTTGGTGTACCTGAGGAGCTTCCGCTCTGTCCGGAAGGCAGTTTAATGGGAGGTGGTCGATGCTTCACCCCTTTTCCCAACACAGACGATTGGACCAGCGGAGACATTCCATCACCCTAGAGAGAACACAAACGCAAATCTTATAAACCTTATAAACACCAAAGGTAATCTCAGATGAATTATAAATTCATTTTAGGTATCATGGCTCCCTATAAGTCAACATTTCCTCCTACACAAAAGAAAAACGGGACACTTACTTCGTCTTTGCTGGGAGAGGGAGGGCCCTGTCCCACTGTGCCTGAGTTATGAGACATCTTGACCTGACATTTCACATCTCTTTCATACACTCCTTTGTACTGAGTAAGAAACCTAGGAAACAGAAATGAGAAAGTGAACATAATGCACCCACAGACAGTGAAAACAGACAAAATCATCGACTGAGAAGAACTCACCTTTCTGCATCTATCTTTGAGCCTATGAGGAAACTGTGAATGAGAAACGAGATGGTAATGAATGCAACCAGCGTGGCACTGTAAACTAAAACCAGTTCAGTCACTTTGTCTTACGGAGGATGAATGAGCTTTAGATCAGTGCTGTCCTCCTCTGCCTTTGGTTCTTTAGCACAGTAGATCTTTCCGTACACCAGTGGGTCTCCCATTGTCTGGAAGATGGATACCTTGGTCTTTTGAGCTTGGCCCCCCACTTCACACTCAAACGTGTAGTCATCTACAACCTCCTGTTTCAGAGAGAGCCCAGGGTTAGCAAGTAGAAATAGTTTCAGCTGCTTTAATGTGAAGCTGCAGGGTTAAGCAACATACAGTACCACCATTAGAGTCACTAGAAAGAAATGTTCCAATCATGGAGAAACATTGGGTCTGATAAGGCCTATTGACAATAAAGCAGGATCTCTGTTTTCAACAACATTGGAGACAAATGTAAAATAGATGAGTCCCAGTACTGTAGCCTTTATCCTCTCTGTATTCATCTCTGTATTTTTTTTTTCTTTTGATTTAACTACACTAAAACAAATACTGACTTTGCACGGTGCAGCAGGTTAAAAAGATCCACTTTACTCAGTTTCTAATGGACTGTTACAAACTGCTAACACTTGCTGGCTATTTTTTACTCCAAACATCCATCACTGACACGGACTCTCAGGAGCATAAATGCTGCTGCCAAACTTACCTCAGCAGGCCAGATCACAGTGGTGGGCTGAGAGTCTTCCAACTGCAAAGATTTCTCAACCACAGCATACTTTTCCACCTGAGGGAATAAAAAGTCACACAAACAAACGGGGTTGAAGAAGGTTTACAGTTTAATCGCTAAACCACAAATGAAGCAGCTTGTTTTTAACCAGGGTTTGAGTGACATTGAGCTACTTACGTCAATCTCCTTCGGTACAGTGAGTTGGCAGTTGTTTTGCTTCCACATGTCTACGCACTGCAAAGGATGAGAAAAAAATATAACCACAGAAAACATGCAATGCTGATTAGCTTGGGTCCACCTGCCGTTCCAGAAAGCCTCCTGGGGTAAAGAGAAATCCATCAAACACGGGTGGAGGTTGACAACTTACATTTCCAACCTTTGAGATCTTCAGGTCTATGACAGGAGCAGGTTTCCTCTCTTTTCTTCTCTGTAGGTAGTCATAGAGCCGCAGCTGTGGTGGAATGGGCAGATGAGACAGCTCCTGCTGCCGGTTGAGAGCAGCTCGAGAATGCCTCTTGAAACATCTACGATGCAAGCCAGCATGTTTGTAATCAGTGGTGGGATTTAGCCATCAACTTTTTCATTATTCAGAGCAAAAGAGCTGCACTTTGACTGGGTTTCCCTCAAAGAACAAAAAAGAAATAAAAAAGCACCCCCACGAGAATAACTGAGTTCAAATGGAACATGCGCCACTGGGGCTGAGCGAGTGAGTGTGCTTCAGTACCGTTTCATGGAGCGAGTGTTCATCTTCTGCTTGTTGTAGAGCAGGCGGTTGGCTGTGCAAGTAACAGAAATGGAAGGGTCCAGGCACAGAGGTTCAGCCGTGGCCAAAATCAACTGGCTCTCCAGCTGTAATTTGTCATCCTAAAGCAAAAGAGCAAGGAGAGAAAATATGTACTGATGAGCCTGATGCAACCTAAAAAAATGCACCTCTGTACAATGGACTCAAACAGATGCAGAAGGATGTTTTAGCTGTGATGGCTGAGTTTGGTGAACGGGGGGACAAACCTGTGTCCATTTGTGATCACTGGTCATGGCGTGGACGTCGCAGATTAAAGTCTGTGTGACAAAAATTTATGGAAAAAAGTCATTTTTTAAAATAAAATGCAGGGCGATACTTTTCTTCTCATCGTACATCTATAAAGACCCACCTGCATGGTTGGCCGCAGTAGGACGTGCCTGCTCTGGTAAGTGGGAATCTTGGTATTACCAGCTTGCCTGTAGTCTCTAACTTCTACTACTACACAGCCACAGTGGAAGATGTTCACCTGAAACACCACACATTTGAGATGTCAACAGGCTGGCAGTTACATATAAGGGAGGTTAGGACACCAGAGGCTGACACCCTACAGTGCCACTCTCTATATGTGATCAACTGCTCTGAATACTTTGTGTGTACCTTACTTAAAAAAAACAATAACTATTTAGAAACAGGCTCCAAATGGATACCTGTGATTTCTCCAACAGATCCACCAGAATGGGCGGTAACTCCTCTGAATCCAGATACTCCAGCAGCTCCCTTTCCTCATATGGCAGACGGATGGTTTCAGAGTCTAGGCAGCAACACAAACATTCATTTAACAATTGAGGCGGCCGTGTTGTACAGACTGGAAAAAGCAGTTAGTTTGTTTCATTACTCCTACCGGATCCATTTTTGCCCCTGAGCATTAAAGAATAGCCTTCATTCCCAGGGTACAGATTGACCACCAGACATGACACAGAGTCCTGAGACACCAGCTTCTCAAGTAGATTCACATTTCTCCTCAGATTCTTTGGAAAGAGACAGCGGACAAAACAAAGGAATGACACACATTTACGGCTTTGGCAAAGTTTGTATTTTGTTGAAAGAAATTTCAATCTCATGGACTGTCAATGTTTGGCTTTAGCACTGTGACTTGACATTACTTCTGCTTTCAGTGCCATTTGAGCAAACTGAAATAATCTTGATTTACTGTCAGAATAACTTTGTTTCATGTGTCTAAAAAGCAGCTGGATGAAACTAACAGATGTGTTATATTTGATATGTTAATTTCTTGGTCATTCCTCCTTCTGCTAGGTCATAAACAGACCACATTTTTGGCTCAAGAGGAATTTAACACTCAGTATTTCCTTTACTGCATTTGAATGAGCATCTTAGTTTCAAGCTGATAAACAGATGACATAAGGTGAACATAAGGACACCTTTAAACTGCAGCTGCTTTTGTTACAATACATTTCCGGCTGACCCAATCGCATACTTATCGTGCTCATGATCTACACATTGGAATAAATGTGGATGTAATGAATGCTGATATGCCCTTTGTCACCCAGCTTTACGTCAGCGAGACATGCAAGACACAAACCTTCAACTCTGGCTCTTTCTCACATTCCTCAATGTAGAGCTCATAGAGCTTCTGATACAAACTCTTCCTCCCACCAGATGAAATTCTTCTTTTGGCTGGTCGCTGTCGAGCACTTTCAACAATGTACTGAGCAACAGGTACACAACACGTTGTATTAATGAAGACTGAGTGGACAAGCGTGGCTGATGTACTTATTTAATGATAAGTGCAATTGGTGCTGAGACACAATATACATATTATTAATGTATTATTCTGCAATCATAGGGAGTAGGGCTCACACCACAGTATTTTACCTCAGCTCGATCCAATGCATATTCCAGAACTTGTTGCTTTGAGAAAGAAAAATCAAAGACATCAGATATAAACTAAAAGGACAGAGCATGTGCAAGTTATGGACTGATCTCCTCTATCAGACATAAAACAAAACTGTGGGAGTCAGCTTATAACTTCGTGTTGAATGATTAGATCGAGATTTAACATACCATTGTGATCCACCGCCAGCTGCAAGGCGAGAGACAGTATACGATGCTGCCCTTTCTGCCCCACACTGTCACCTTCCTAGAGTGACCATTCACACCCTGCACAGCACAACAGCAGATGTAGTGCAAGCAGCATCGACACAAAACAAACTCAAATGGCAGATCAATTCAATGAGATGCACACTGTCTGCCAGGCAGACTGTTTAGGCTGTGCTTCTGCCAAATAGTGTGGCTGCCAGTCAATCGGATGCCATACACAGCTATGAAGACTGATGGCGAAATTGTTTCTTCTAACTTGTTTATTCCATAGACTCATCTTCCAAAATATACAGGAATGCTAATTACAAGCAAAAACTAATAGAAAGTATATACAAATAGGTTAGATACGATCAGTAAAACTCTGATGACTGTGAGCCAAGTCCGGAGAGAGGCAGAATAGCAACAAGCCTGACCGTTGAGGCTAGCATAGCTAATGTTAGCATGCTAGCCCGTTCCGAGTGGGAAAGCTGTAAGTTACTAGCTACGCTAACGGTCTTCAGTCATCGGAGACACAACCCAGTGCAGCGACGTCAGTCACAACAAATAGAATCGACTTGCCTTCGAGATTGCATAGCGGTCGACAGTAGCTCCTATGCAAGAAAACAAAATGAAATTGAAATATCAGTGTCTTCATTGAAAAAAAGTCGGAGCAGCAGCCATTTTCTTCCAGTGTGACAACAACAGCTAAACTTCCGGTTTGAGCAGATGTGGGCGGGGCTTCACTTTGCTCTGGCGCCTGTATCACAAGTGATGTGCAGTATGATTTCCAGAAAAAAGATTAACTTAGCTCAACTTGATGAAAGCCCGTTCTAATGCAAAAAGAAAGAAAAGACTGCCAAAGTCAATTTATTAAGATTTTAGTTTGCATTAATAATGAATACATAAAAAACCTGAATTTGAAAACATGGATGTACAAAATGCATGCATCAGCTGGAACAGATTTGGATGAAGTTATATTTTGCATACAACTTCATCCAATTGAATTTACAGGCCACACATGTTCGGTTGAATTTCCATAACTGCACAGCAGGGGGAAGAACAGGATAGCTGATTAAGCTGAAGTGTAAATGAGTATATCTCTAAAACTTTCCTCTAAGAGTGTTGGAGCAGAAGTTTATGTATTATGTTTTTAAGGTTTTAATAAAACCATGCAGACACCAATTCATTCTAAAGATTTTTTTTTACTAAATCAAGATTTAAAAAAGTATCTTTACAAGTGGAAGCTGTTGCATCAAACTTTCAAAGTGCTTAGATTTTACAGATAATGTTGTGTTCATATTTGTAACCATTACTCTTTTCAGATTCAGAACAAAGTTTCATTACAAATTTCCTGTTTGAAAAAGTTTTCCATTTCATGAAAAGTGACCCACCCATCACAGTAAATGGTAAATGGATGGCATCTATTTTTCTGCATTGCTTTTGTAGTCATCTGGACACCAATTTCACTATAGTTCACACAACCCCTTAATGAGCGCAACGCTCTGCGTAGGGCTCAGGCAAGAACAGTCCTGCACAAACATTGAGCAAAGAAACACATATTACACACAAGGGCTTGCTTTAGATCAGGTTTGTGTACCTCTAGGGTAAGATTTAATTATGATAGCACCTTTCTATCTTTTCCAGGTGATGAGGATCTATATGCCTTCATTCCACAAATAAAATAAAATAATTTACAAAAAAATGTTTCATTATGAGTCAGAAATTAGGCATTGTGGGATCTGTATTGCTATTTGATTAAATAAATATAGTTGGAGACGTAAGTATATAAGTAAAAGAAAATATTTATTCAGATGAAAATGTCTCTCATATTTATTTATTTATTCACGAGCAAAGACAGAAAAAAAAACAAACTATAAAACCTGTTTCACATTGTATAATGAACACCATTGTTCCAGAGTTTTCACTGACTTTTCTCTGTCCAGAACGTTACAACACACCCATGCTGTGCTGTTGAGCTATCACGGAATCCAGGGCTAATTTATTCTGTTTACTCAATACTGTAGTTTATTGGATTTTAACAAGAATCATTATATCATGAATAAATGCTGGAGATTTGGACATTGTGCTGAATAAAATGACAGAAGACAAAAGGCATTCAAAGATTTTGGGTACAGTTCAGCCTTTACTGATTAACAGGTAGAAACATGCATATTTGTCCTTATTCGGATTTGGACCATAATGTGTTCTACAGAATAGTCACATATACTTTACTTACTGGCTCTGTCATTTGGTACTTTTTGCTTGGTGGAGTTTCATTTACATACTGCTTGTATTATTCATTTGATCATTTGAGAGGGGTTTAGTTATTTAGTATTTCTTTCTCCTCTCTGGTCTGTCAAAGATGTTGTCACAGTGCACGGCTTTAAAGGGTGGATGTAGCAAAACTCCTATAAATTATTCACTTTGTGGAATTCCTTGAAGCTCTTGACAACTACAAACACGTTTTTCTGAGTTTGGCTATTAACTGTTTAGGCTGCTAGATAAAGCTTATCTACACCTTCTTTTATTTTCCCTTTAAATTCTTTATAGAATTTTGAAAAAAGTCAAGTGCTCATTTGCAGACTTTTTCTCACACTCATTTGTTGAAACTGTGATTCAAAAGTAATTTAACAAGACTGCTAACATGAGAGGTTGAATCGTGTTCCTTTTTATGGGGTCCTACCAACATTAGCCTGGGATATAAACTGTAAAAAATAAAGTGTTATGGGTTGCTGAAGGGCCAAACTTCGGGGTAGAAAAGAACCTAACGACTTTCAGAATTCCTGGCATATGCTGCCCTTTTTAGTCAAAGAGGCTTTTGTGTTTTTTTTGTTATAGATCACCCACCACTTAAAGCCTTACACAATAAGAACATGCTGTTTTGTTTACAGAAAAAACAAAATAAACTGGTTTGAAAGCACCAATATTAAATATCATCATCTTTTTTTTTCATTTCAAAATAGAGTCATATTAACTGAGAACCAAAAAGAAAACAGTAAAAGGTTCAGACTGCTGAGAAAGAGAACATTTTATGATTTGCCTGCGGACCATGAAATTAGAGAAGCTTGTGTGTCCTTATAGAATGGTAGCAACACAATAGTCTTTTGTGTCACTCTCTCCATTCTTCTCTGATTGTCTCACCTTAGTGTGGGACCTGACAACTCTGGGACCTGAGCCAGTTCTTTTCTGCAGCAAGGAGACAAGTTTTGCAGCTGTGTTGGAGTTTACAACATTGGCCTCGACCAAAAAAAAGATGCCTTTCAGAAGCAGATTCTCAGATAAAATAATCCCCTTCGGCATGACATGCTTCAAAGTTAATGATACAAACATAAATAATGAAAAATCTACAATGAGTGAGCACATGCTCTAAACATGTCCCATCATTTTGATCCCTTGGACAGGAAACTGTCTTTGGATTCAGTTTCCGCTACCGATCATTTGTTAAATGTGTTAAACTTTAAACTGTGAAATTCTTGTCATATCCTGACCTTGTGTAAAATGATGCTATTAAAAGCATGAACTTTACAAATCAGAAATTTGGTAAAAACATGCTACTTTGTACATCGGATGTTTGGGTCTCTAGTCATTACAGAGTCTATCTGCGTTTTTAGGGCATTACAGCTATCCATCTGGACCCTGCAGACCGTGAGCTTGTGACTCAGCTTTCGGTGCAAACAATGTGCTGAGGGTCATGTTAAAGGATTACACGGCTGAGAAAAAAATCTCATAAAAGAGTTGGCAGGTAGCAACACAGAGAAACTACTCTGTGTACAGTGGAAAATGGTCCGCATATTCTAAACCCAGAGCAGCAGTATTTATTCAAAGTCTTCATTCAAAGTAGATCTCTCTCTAATATTTGTGTATTCTTCTTTACATTGTCTTGGAATTTTTTTTAAGTAGTGTGACCAAACTGACAAAATGATAAATTCATATAAAGTAGTACACTTGTAGGTTGTAATTATGTGCCAAATGCTGAATTAAAGTGGGAAATGTTTGTCTTTAATTATTTAACTTATCCTCAGTTCAAAGACCTCTAACTCAGTGAAATTCCCTAAACACATGCAAAAATCATCTCAGTTTAAAAAAAACAACAAGAAAACCGCAGACTCTCACACTGTGAGGTCTGCACTGACCTCATCCATCATGGACACAAGACAGAGCAGAGCTGGAGAGTCAAAGATGGAGAGAGAGAAAATTAATTTGGTCATTTGTTCAATGTTAGACTTCCTCAAAATCCTGGAAAAAAAGAATACAAGTTTGAGTTTTTCTGAAATCCCAGCTGGAGTCCATCTTCTTATTTATTTATGTAATTACTCTCTTATACCTTTTTCTGCAATTGTGATAATGAAAGACTCTGTGGGTTTGTTGAAAGGTTTCTGGAACCTTTGTCAGATTAGGTGTGGCCATCAACTGCTGTGCTTCAGATGTGTCATCTGTGCTGTTGGACCGTACAATTATCTGCAAAGCTTTAACAATAATTCAGTCATGATACAAATGTCTCTGCACAGTAACACAAACAGACAGGAACTCATACATTGGAACATGAATCTGCAAATAATCTTGAAGTGAACCTACAAAGTTCTATGTGCATTCTAAGTTAAAAACTGAACTGCAATATTTAATTGTAAAGAAAGTTTTTGTTTAGAATTTGATTGCAAAGTCATCTCAAAATAGTTGGGACAGGCAAAAAAAGCCTTAAAATTTTGTCAGTAAAATCATGTAAAGAAATACTAGTCTCTAATCAAAACTGGCAAAGATTAATTGAACTGAAATGGATTCGAGCCTGAGCGAGCCAACATCGAAACTATTTTGTGAATTTTCATTTGGAGCACTGGATCGTTCTCCTTCAGAATGAGAGTGACTAATAACAGGATATGAATTTGAATGGATGAAATGATAAACAGCAATCTAAATGAGGGAAGAAATACTTTTTAGTTTGTCATTAAATTACATTTTAACGTATCCAATATATGTATAGGTTGCTTTCATACAACATATTGATCATTGGGCTCATGTTTATTGTTCTTGTAACAAAGATGACATTTCCACAGATCAGTAGATAACCTAAGACAAGAAAGATTGGGATTATGTTTGGAAGTGTCTCGTGTTAT